TCGAAGTTTACGAAACTGACTACTCTTCCCCAAGTCACTGGGGTCTGCGACATGTGCAGCAAATGCTGCATTCTTCTCCGACACCAATGCGCCGATCATCGCATTGTTGTCATCAAACCAATCAGACCGCCATATATATGTATATATATCTGCATAGATATACTACTCGGTCACCGGCCGTCATTCGATTCCGGATTCGCTTACCATTGCGGCCTCTCTGGTGCAACCACAGGACTTCTGCGCCTATAGAGGGACCATGGGTGGCGTGTACTGGACCCACAGTTCCATTCACACACCCCTTATCCGGCGTGAACCCGAAGGATTAAGAATTGGAGGCATGCGGACGGGAGACATTTTTCTTCTACGGGACCATCACTCTGCCCGAGCTACGCGCGTATAATACTCGGATACTATTTACATATTTCTCGGGTACACCTTTCCTGACTAGACAGCCTCAAAGGGCACGTCTATCCAGTGAATCGAATGCACGTTTGATATCGAAGAGCACGACAACGACGGGCCGCCAATATATTTAGCGGTGCTCCAACAACTGACGCAAAGTGAAAATGTGGTCAATGCAGCCATGACCTCGACGAAACCCGGCTTATTCTTCACCAACCTGGCTTTTATAACTGACAGTTAGTCTATGAAGGATGATAGGTACAAGTAGTTTGGAGGCGATCGAGATCAGACTGATTCCTCCATGGTTGCCGCATTCCACTCGTGAGCCTCCCTTGAAAATGGGGACTATGACAGAGCGGCTCCGGTCGGTTGGGGCAGTTTGCTGCTCCCGCAGTTTCACTAGTACTTCGTGTAAATCATCCACAAGAGCAGGTTCCCCGAATTTGAAGAGGGCTAGAGGAAGATCATCTGGTCCCTCGGCTTTATTTATCTGCAACAGTCCAATCTCACGTTCGACTTCTGAGCGAAAGCGCGGATCCATAGGGGCAGCTTAGGGAGCAGGGCGACCAGTGGACTGCGATAAGTCCGAAAATTCGGACTGATTAAATTGCCTTTCAACGTGCTCAACGAAACGCTCCAAGCGTTTTGACAAGTTGTGGATAGGCTGTGCACTCTCGTTACGTATAGTTTCATTAACACCAGGTCTCCTGCTGCCCGTTTCCCCTATCAGACGGAATAACATACGATAGTTACTGAGGACAGTTGCCATTTCCATCTCTGTTGCACGCTGACATCAGGATTCGCGGTCTCTCTTCAGACTAACACGGAGTTTTCTACGAATCTCTTTGTGTTCACTTTCAACCGGAATATACTGACGAGCATGGATAATTTCCAGAGACTGCAAAGAGACCCAATGTCCATGTTGGCGATCAGACTTACCATTTGAGGATTTTCCTGCTGCTACTTCTGGACGCAGGCTCTCCATCGGTAACTTATCGCAATGTGATCGATCTGCGTCCAAGGCTGGTTCGAGGCTGGTGAGCGCTAAGTCACCCTCCGGCGGGTGCTGTGTCGGAAGTTAGTGCTCGCAAGAAATAAGCGAGCATCCTCACAAAAATGAAGTAACCGCTCACCGTTATCATTCCGGGAGCCTCCACCAGGTTGGCCGCTCAGATGTAAATCATCAGTGAATAATTTTCCAACTTGCGCGTTCAGATCCCTAGCCAGCACAACAGTGTCCGTGCTTCTTCTGTGGCGAAGGTGCTCGTTCAGCTTGCGATACCAATCTTCTTTTATCTTATCATTGTTACAGTTTGTGGGTGCGGCCTTAGCAGGCAGATCTATTACTTACTCGCTAGGGCTGGTCGCAGATACTCTTGACAGTGAATGAGCGACGACGTTCTGTTGACCAGCATTGAGTCGGATATCTGTCAAGAGTTGGGCGAGTAAATTCAGTTGAGGAAGCTCACACGGTGAGTGTCTAGCTGTTTGATTTCAGAAGGCATAGAAAAGCGGCTTGTGGTCGGTGAAGATAATGAAAGTGCTACGTTCATGGACTTGCCGGAAATGTCAAACAGTGGAATAGGCAATCAGCAGTTTGCGACTGAACTTGACTTCGACAGGTTGTAGGCTTGTGGAGTAGAAAGCGTGATTTACAACATCTGTTTATAAGTTGCTGTAGTACGGCGCCAATGGCGATGCCTGGTTTGTCAGCAGGGACGCTGAGTGCGGCGCTCGGCTCAGTGTTGAAAGCTTACGGCTTCGGCCAAGGCTTCTTTGCTGACTTTGAATGCTTCGGCAACAGCAGCGGTCAATTCCCCATAGCCGTTGGTAAATCAACGAAGTAGACTGGTTAGTGGACTTAGAAAGTCGGCACAGTGTGGAATAAGACGTCCGTAGTCGTTGATCTTGCCGTCAAAACGGTGCATGGCGGCCAACGTAGTCCGAACTGGAAGTCTCTGATGGCACAGACTATCGTATGCCAGACTGATCGATGTGGTGACCAAGAAGTTCGATGGATCGCTGCTGAAAAATTTATTTGTCAGCGCTGATAGTGGTACTAATAACGGCCAGTCTATCGGGAAAAAATTTTGGGACGTACTGCATGCTGTTCTTCAGAATCGTTTGCCACTAGGATATTGTCGATCTAGGGGTAGACGAAATCGAAATCTCTAGTAAGGGAGTCTGTGAATCGATGAAAGGTCTCTGCTGCGTTGCAAACACAGAAGGACATGGGTACAGATTCGAAGAGCCATAATGGTGTGATAAAAGTGGTCTTCGGAATGTCTTCCTCAGTAACTGGTGATAAGCGCGGACCAGATCGATTCTCGAGAACACATTGATGCCACAGGCTAGCCGTGATGTCCTGAATGTGAGGGATCAGGATGGCGGTCGGGAACAGTTGTGTTATTAAGAACGCGTTAATCTCCACATAGAAACCATTCTCCTGACGTTTTGGGCACCATGTGAAACTGCGACGCCCACGGGCTTTTTGACGGGTGAACGATATCTATCTCAAGCGTATGCTCGAATTCTACGTGTTCAGCTTGTTATGAGTCATTTGTCTCGCTTTAGCGAACACAAGCGGACCTTTGGTAACAATGTGATGCTTTGATGCATCATTAGCGGATGGCAACGGTGCTGTTGCGCGGAAGACTTGCGAGAAGCTGCTGAGAAGCATTTGACCAATTACTGAATTCGACTGGTTGGCATATGCAGGACTGAGTGACTGAATGTCGGTCAAACTACCTATAACTGCCAGCTTCGTGTGGCGATCGATCAGACGGCCTTGCTTGGCATCAACTAGCAAGTTGAAGTGCTGCAGTAAGTCAAAGCCAATAATTGGCTTTTGGACATCTGCGACGAAGAAGATCTATCTTAATGAATGTCAGGCGCAAATTAAGCGCGTGTGAGCGTTGGGCATACACACGAATGATGGCATTGTTAACTGCGTGCAGTAAGCTCGTCGCTTTCTCATTCCGGTCTTATCATGAGTAAGGATGCTAACTTCGGTATCGGTGATCACCAACTAGCGAACTGTTTCTCTATCAGTGACGAAAAAAGGCGAATGTGGCGATCAGCGTCTGGCATTTGAAGGAACAGGGTGGGCGACACCACTGTGCCTGATGGCCAAGTCGCTGGTGGTATTAGCAATAGAAGGGTCTAGGCGATGATTTTCGAAGATAATCTCGAGCGAGTTCGATTGCTAGAAAGACTTCGGCATTTGGCTCCGGACGGTGTTAAGTCCTCTATTCGATTGGCAGAAGCCACGATTTGCGCTTTCAGTTCGGCTAACTCGGTACTGGAGGTGCACGAAATCTGGATGCCAGATTCCCAAATACAGTCGGCAGTATCAGCCAACTTGGACAACGACACATCTGCACAAGCACAAAGAACGTTACATATCTAACGGGTAATCGTTGCAACCCAAATTCCCGGAGAAATGCGTCGTCTATCATCAATGCTTTCGATACGCTATGTATTTTTCGTAACGACTGAGAGCCTTTCCGATCATCTAGCTGGGTTTCACTTAGGAGTTCCATACCTCGTTGTCGGTCGGACAAGCCTGTTCTTTTCAAAACAGCGGTCTTAACCTCTTCATAAGTTTTCTGTTGTTCTGGTAGACCCAGAATGTTGTCGATGTTGACAACAGATGGAAGAAGTGTCATTACTGCCTAGTGGAACTTAACCCATTCCGATTTAACGCAATAAAAACTGAGATTCTAGTTGGGCGAACCAGGATTTAAGATTATTCTCGCGGGAGAACGGGATAGGGAAATTGACTGCACCAATTTGGTCGTCAGGATCTGGTTAAATAATTTTCCTAGGGAAAAATACTGAGCCAGCGAAATTGAACCCAATAACCAAAAGGGAGATATGAAAGGTAGCCGGAATATGTGGCCGGATCTGCAAAGAAAAATTAGTAACAAGCTCACCAATTATAGCCCATCGATTGTGCGCCATATATCAGATTTGCAGTTAAGCGGCCAACCGAAAGCGAGCGAGAAGAGACACGAAAATAAGTCAGCAAAGGCTTATGGAAAGGTCTGTAAACTGACTAAACATGAGGCACCAGAAGAGTGGTAGCTAGCGAAGATGTAAACTGGTGCTGAGTGCCAAGATGGTTGCTCACCTCCGAGCGAGGACCGCGGATGCGTCTGTTGTGAGCAACAAATAAGCAAACCACCTAATTCCCTAATGCATAAGGAGACTTTACCTCTTGATCGTTTTTCCGAGCTTGATAAAGGGATTGCATACGTTTCACCACCATGTGAGGTGGCGTCTTCAATGCGGTGATATGCAGTGTATAAGCAGGGTTATACACTGCATATCACCGCACTGAAGATGCCACCTCGCATGGTGGTGAGACGTATGCAATCCCTTTATCAAGCTCGGAAAAACGATCAACCGTTGAGCAACCAACCCGGGCTACCGGTGTTCCAAATTCTTTCAAAAAGACTTTAATTTTACAATATTTTAGAATAATTTACACTGTCTAACGCGGGAATCTCCAGCTCATTACAATATTATTAACATAAAAAGGAACCAATTTTCTCTATGGAGAAATAACATTTATGGCTTCTTCCCTTTTTTTACAGCCTTGTGTCTTTTGTGAACGGAATCAGCGCAGTTCCCAGGCAAATCATGGCGTTTGTATCCAGTGTGCTACGAAAAGTTGCCGCGTTTATTTCCACGTCACTTGGTGAGTACAAATCTAATGGTACTGCAGTTTCCCATTTATTGTCATTACTGTGGCATTTAACCGGTTGTTTGCAACCGTCGTTCCTATCTATGTGAATGACGAAACAGCATCCTGTGCTGGTCTTCATGGTATTAATCTGATCCCAGCTACATCCAAACTTTGACGCGTATAACACTACGGGATACTGCTACTGCTGATCCCCACAATAGCCTACTTCTTGAAGGCCAGGTTGACTTCTAATTGACCACATTTTTACTTCCCAACAGTTGTTTTAACGAAACCACCCGGACAAACAGGTCATCATAGTTGTGTCCCTCGGCTTTAAAACTGCCTTTGATTCTGTTGACCGTACATGTTTGGGACAGTGGCCAATTACGGTGTGCGTGCCGGGGAATTTTCTTTCTCTAACCTCTACGGCGGCTGCCGTTGGCATGTAGTGAGGAACAATGAGCTCTCTCCTGAGTTCGTCACAACAAGTTGAGTGCATCAGGATTGCCCTGACTCTCCATTTCTCTTTGCTTTTGTGATCAGTAATTGCCTTGCTGTTTCTTCTCGCTTTTCCTGGGGTAGAGTTTGTGTTTAGGGACCTACTTACAAACGTTGTGCATACGGAAGACAGCTTCATTTGCTCTCATCCAGGTACTGTTCACGCGCTGCTGAACAGGTTGAAGTGTAGTACTACCGTACCGTTGTGTTAGTCAAGTCGTCAAAATAAATTTTTTGAACCCTAGGGGGTTAATTTTCAGCATTTACACCACCACTGCGGACACCTGGATGATAATAGCAATATACAAGGTTGGGTAGAAAAGTGGGAGACAAGCAGGAATGTTACTCCAACAAGCGTTCGTGCAGCATGTTAGTGACTTTTGCTGTCAACAAGCAAACGTGAGAGATAAGTGTTATAACGCTGTACCCGCAATCGACCGGTTGATTCACGCCTGCTGGTAAATCTGCGCCCTTACGCCTGCTCTGTTTGACGCCTTGGCAAACTCGACAGGAAGGAAAACTGAAGAAGACTCAGCTGACCAGAGTTCTATTAGGACCGAGAACGCTCATATTTATATGTCGGTCTCACCAATCCTGTAAACATTGCCTGGCGGATTTGGTTGTAAGCCCACGCTCCACACTTGATTGTCCGCTCCGTCTGGCCAGTTCACCGTCTTGCTTGGGCACGCCAGTCTTCATCCGCCTACCCGGGGCATGGCAACGCACGTGATGTCTGACGCGCGATTTCATCAGCTTCCGGTCAGATCTTGGCAACACGCATGATGTCTGATGCGCGATTTCATCAGCTTACGACTGGACCCTGGCAACTTGCTCGCAGGGTATGTCCTAAGCACGATTTGTGGCGAACACGCGCGCTTTGACAATCAGCTTTCTCTCCCAGCTGTCAAAAGGCAAAATACCATTACGATACGATGATGTGCGGTCGAACAATATTCTGGATTTCGATCGAGTAGAAGAGAAAGTGGGCGTTTTGGAAAGATGATGGTGATGTAGATGAAATCGATCAGTTAGCATCTTAGTAGAAAAATCATTGCAGGCATCCGGATGTCTAGAAATGATCAAATCAACTAAAGAATCTCTAGACAATCCGCTGCATCTAGAAATGTGCCTTATAGATCGCACTAATAACTTGTAGTCTTTCTGAAGCAGTCCAGCGAAACTGACAGAAGAGCAGTATAGCCAATGAGGAATAATACAAGAGGTCACAAACCAGCGTATCAAAGTACGAGGTACTGAAAACACCTTAAGTCTGAAGGCATAAAGAGAAAGTTCTCTGACTTTTTGAGAACTTTTACAAACTTGCGTGGACCAAGAAAGGTTCTAGGACAAAAATACGCCGAGATACTTGACGGTGAAAGAACTGGGTATGAGATTCTCATTCACAGTAAGTGTAGGGGTGAAAACTATGAGCGACTGCAACCTATCGCCACGTAGAAAAGCAAATACTACATCCCTACATTTAGAAGCATTTATCGTAAGAGATTTGGATGAATACCATTCCACCAAATCTTCCAACCCACGTTGAAGTGACGAGCAATTCTGGTTAGTGGGGGACATACATCCCAGCACATTATCAGCATATTTGCGCCCCATAAACGTGATTTGTATAGGGAGATATTCAACATACAAGGAAAATAGAAAAGGTGATATGGTCGCTACCTGTAGCGTACCAGTCGGCACGGAGGACAGAGGGTTTCTTACCGTTCAACTTGGTGAAGTGAGTGCGATCTGTAAAATAGCCGCGTAATAGATTACACACCCCAGGATGAACTCCATTTTCGGATAGCAGGTTTAGCAACCTTGACCTATCCAGGCTTCCAAAGGCATTCGAATAATCCAGGAAGAGAAGCCGTACGAATTTACATTTTTGATCTAATGCAGAGGTTATAGAATGAACAACATATGCCACTGCATCCAATGTGGAGCGCTGGGGTCTATACGCAAACTGGTAGATATCGTCTTCAGGTGCGGCTGAAAAAATCCGCGGAATTAACAGTCTTTCGGAAACTTTCAGGAGCACAGATGCACATACAATTGGGCGATAGTTTTGAGATCCAGTTTTTGCTACTGGAGTGATACTGGCCGTTATACAAATGTCCGGGATTACACCCGTAGTGAGGCATTTGTTAAAAAGGTCTGTTAGAGGCAGTGCGAAAGAATCAGCACACTTCTTTAAAGCTAATGGTGAGAGAGCATCCGGATCACAAGCTTTGGTTGGTTTAATCTTTTGAATTCTTTGTGGACGTTTCTTTGATCGAAGGGCACGGCAAGGAAGATGAGCTTAGTGAGGGAGAACTAAACTCCGAATTCTGTTTATCCGCATCCAATTCACCTCTCTGGCTGCAAACGCTCTTACCACAGAGCTGCTTCAGAAGCCCCCATAGATCGCGAAAGTTATGGTTGCTAGAACTGCTTCGACGTATAATTGGTTTAATCTTGACCAACACAATACCAGTACCCACCGAAATGAATGCACCGCACTTCGGCACACGGACCAAAGTTGACAAGCTGTATTTTTCTTATCCTTATGACTATCATTATCTAGGGTGTGATATTTTCGAGTTCTCTTGCCGAGGTTATTGTAGAACTCAGTACTTCAGGGACATGCCTTTATTCGGCAAAGTCAACTCAGCGAATAGTACAGAATGTTTGGCACGCCGAACTCCTCGATATATCTTGTCCGTCCTCTTCCATGAACAAAGCCCCTTATGAGCCAGTGATGTTCTTCCTTCAACTTAGTTAAACAAACGGTGAGAAACACGTGCGAACATCGGCTCATCATTGTCTAGCAATCTGACCCGTTTTATCCGTCTCTCATTGGTCGTCAGCTCGCTCTTTTGACCCATTCTTTCATTCTGATAGGACACCCAATCGCAGATGTGTGTTTTCTTTTTTTCTCCTATATGACGGACCCTTATCACCGGCGCAGCAAACATCTGTCAACATCATCATCAATACACGTTAGTTAGGGTGGAAAACACACTTCATCTAATGTGCCGCAATCCAAAGATAAGATACAAAGTCCACTGCAAAAAAACTCGAAAACAAGTATTATAATTTTAAATATTATATTGTGAAGTTCGTATGAGATCGGAATGCGGCAATCATAGAAATCAGTCGAATCTCATCTGCCTCTAAATTGCTTGCGTCTGGCGTTTTCGACAGACAGAATGGCATTTGTGAAAGCCAGATAAGTGACGAATAAGCAGGGTTTCCTCTAGATCAGGACAGCATCAATGACATATTCAATTTGCGTCAGTTGTTGGAGCATAGCCATCATTAATGGTGACAAAACGTTGTAGCGTCTCTCGACCTGAAGGGTACCTTCGATTCCCTGGATCGATGTGCCCTTTGGGACCGCCTGCTGAGAAAAGGTGTGCCTGATAAATACGTAAACATTACCAAAGTGCTGTACGCGCATAGTTCGGGCAGAGTGAGGGTTTACGGCAAACTGTCGCCGCCCTTCAATATCTCCAGAAGTGTAAGACAATGTTGCTTGCTATCACCTCTCCCCTTTAACTTCGCTATTGATGAAGTCATGGAAACAGCGTTCGCTGAACATGACCTAGAAGGGGTGGAGCTACTTTCTGGTGAGCGACGCACCGGATATTATATCTGGGTGATTACCCCATGTTGAGACAACTACTTCATCTGCGCACACCAACCTGCACGGGAGTACACCGGTATAAACTTATCGTCCCGGATTTGAAGCGGGTCGCCCATCAACTCTGTTTCGAACGCAGAGTGGTGAATGTCTGGAACGACCTGCCTCAGCATATAGTAGAAGCGGACACCGTGTCTAAATTCAAGACGCTACTAGACCAACAATTTGCAGAGGCAAAGTACGCAGAGCGAAACGATAAATAAAAAGTTCATGTTCGAAAACGACGAATGATGCGGCTACACAGAGCAACCTCTACTCGCTGCTTCGCACCAGTTCTCAGTTCTCTTGACTTGGAGTATGCGGACGATATTGCCCTAATCTGTGACAGCTACCAAACATGCCAAGCAGCACTGGACCGATTAGCACTGGTTGTCTACCGTTTTGGGCTATCTTTGCTTCATCGAAATGTAGAGTACTTCTCCAAGATTGGTAGGGACCCACCACTGCGCTAAAGTTTGGTGATGGTCAGCTAGAAGTCGTTCAGGAATTCAAGTACCTAAGCAGGTATATTAACGTCCGGGAGATTGAAGATGAAATTCCGAACCGTATAGCGAGAGCTCAAGGTGCTTTTGCTAATCTCCGCTAGCTGTGGTTCAGGCGCGACATCACTCTCGCGCTGAATCACAAAGTCTATAATGCCGCCGTCCGTTCAACGCTGCTCTATGGTTGCGAAACCTGTTCCATCAGATCGATAAACATTAAGAGGCTAGTCACGTTTGATCACCGCTGTCTTCGCAGCATAGCTAATGTCTGATGGGAGCACCGCGTGAGCAATGAGTGTGTTCAACTTCGCGTATTTGGTGCAGGAACAGCTAATGAACCGCCCAGCATCATTGTATCGCGCACCAGGCTCCGATGCCTGGGCCACGTGTTGCGCATGCCAGCACACAGACTCCCGCGATGTGCTTAGTTTGCGCGCCGGGGTTGCGGTTGCAAGAGGATGGGAGGGAGCCAGGCGATGACTTGGTCGAGAGAAGTTGGTGTTCGGTTTGGTGTCGGTTGACGCATCCCGACTGCCTGGTTAGGGTCGCAAGGATGCTGAACACTTTTCTATCTGCGGCTTCTCATTGAATACAAACCTAAGTTAGCTAACCGATCTTCATATGATAACCCACACAGACCTTCTATAATTCGAAGTGACACTGCATGAAAAAGTTTGCTCGCACACTGAAGTTACAACCAGCCGTCAACAAAAGCCGTCCAGTTCCTCACGATTCCCACACACTGCCCGAAACCAATCGATTCTCACGTGCGGTGTGTTGGGTGAAAGTTCCAAACTGACATACAAACACACTCGCTGGAAATCGGTTGATTTTCACCTGCTGTCTGTTTGGCTGACATACGTGATCTCTCTAACAGGGTTATCGGGGCAACTCGTGCTACGCATGCAGTTTATCTTATATTCCCGATAGTTTGCAGCATCTGATGGCATAACTCAATGCGTGTTATGCTTCTTCGTTTGCACTAAATCATCATCATTCATCATTATACACGTCAGCTAGAGGTGGGAAAACACCGCAATACATGAAGGAAATACATACGTACATACGTATAATACAATACACAAAGGAAAAATAGGTACAACAGTTGCATTTCAGTGAACTACACTTTACCGTCATTGAGACGGAAGTAACCCTGTTTTACTCTACCTAGTCCGATTGCTCCTGCTTGCCTTGTCTATTGATGTGCAGTGTCCAAATTTCGTAGTAAACTTAATGATGAGTGGATGCGATCGAACTAATGAGACAAACCAGGTACTTTCGTTGTTGGCTCTAACATTGGCACGTGATACGCCCCGCTAAGTGCTATGCTACTGCACCATTTAACGTTCAGGTTCCACACTGATAACATAATAATATCCATGTTGGGGTTTTTCGCCCAAGAAATAGGGTCTACTTTTATCAGTCGAAGCCATCTACCACGACAACAGTTTCAGCCCTTCCTCTGAGTGATGTTCGTCTGACCATTGTAATTTTCATACAGCCCGAGTTTCCGATTTGGCACACCCTGAGTGACGTGTCGTCTAACGTTGACGAGAATTCCGAAACCTCTTCCATATGCTATTCGCCTTATCCATTCGCCCCTCATCCTGCTATCCGATCAGTCACCTGCGGAAAGCCACCTGCTTGAACCTATCTCTGTTTTGTTTGCCGACGGGTTTTTACACGGGTAACAGCCATTTGCATTGTTCCGAATGTAGTGTATTGATGTCAGAAATTAGGTCCTCGCGGCTCTCTATCAGCATCGATTACTTGTGGAGACTGGGAATTTCTACTTGTTCTAATCTCTCACTCGGTAGATGACTTTACGGCGCTTTGCTCTCGGTACAGCCACAATTATGTGCTTAAATTGTTCCTGCTAGGTCTGTCGTCTGATTATGCTCGCTTCAGCGGCAAACCCTTATGTACGGTCTTAACTTTTTCGGTTGTCTAAGTGCGACCTCTGGTTTTCATCATCCTACAATGCAGCGCCTCACTCGAAGGACTGTTGTCTGAACTTCCTTGGTCTGACGCTGATTCGACGACCTCATTGGCGCGCGTCATAACTCGAACGCTTCCCGCGGAGCAAACATCCTTGGCTCAAATCGATACAACTACTTTTGGAACGAGCACCTGTCATCGTGATGGTGTCTCTTGCCCGCTTCCCACTGATAGCACCAAACGTTTTTACGGATTTTGCTCTTTACGCCATAAAGAGGTAATACTTGTCACTTACTTGTTGGCTATTTGCACGGCTAATAGTTATTTCGAAAAAGATTTTCTTATCAGCTTTCATTTGTTCTCTTTTTGCACTACACCCTGTCAATGAGTTATTTTCCGGCAGGCAACACCCAGTACCTATCTGCTTCAATTCGAAACCCTATTTTCAATTCCAGCTATTTGACCACTCTTCAGCATGGTACTGATGTTACAGTAACACTACAACGGGCACTTGCCGGGATGAAATAGTCACTTGCTGATACCCAACCCTATCCAGGTCTCACCGAATTGGCTTATGCTGATTTCTGCGCGTTTCGGTATCTGCTTCAGATCGTTAAGGTACTCAGTACTACGGAACTACAGCCCGACACTTCCTCGGATTAGTGGAACCGATAACTTCCTCATCTTTGGTAATAGAGTCCTCCCATTTGTTTGATAACATCATCATCATCATCATCATTACACGTTAGCTGGAGGTGGAAAACACCTCAGCTAACAGCTTTGGTGCGCTCATGCCTTGGGAGTCGTGTTTCCATATGGTGTTGCAAAAAACCGGTCCTTAAGACCTAACTGGCTTACTGAACGAAGACAACCTACACATCGGTCACAATCCGCATACAACAACAACAACTTTATCGAGTATTGAAACAATCGGACTTCGTGCTTTTTGACTCATAGTAAATAGAGAAATCGATTGGAGCACAGCTAAACATCATTGAGCAACCAGCGGAGCTGTATGACCGTCGACATTGCCTGGTACGATTAAGTACAGTCTGTTCGTTTCGCGTCCGATTAGCTGATTTGTTCCTATATGTGCTGCCGTTCGTCCATTCTGAGTGTCCGTCATCATCACATCCAATTGTTTCAGTGATTGAAACCAAGCGTTGTATGAAGCTACGCGGACACACGCGCTGCATGGTCTGCGGTTCCGCACACTCTCGATGACCACCTCAATAACCAATGATTTATTATCGCTTCGCATGCTTAAACATCGTTCACTTAGTGTCACATGTTTCTTTTAAGTGTAAACATCGTTATTGCCAATTACGCATTAGAAAAACACCGTACATGTCCCTTTCGATCTGATGAGAACACCGTCACTAGTAAGGACTACTTCGTATCCATTTATCCCTACAAAAGTCAGCTGTCATCCTCACCTGAGATTCAACACTTGCGCGGCACAAGTAGGTGGCCAAGCTACCCGACTTCGGTGCCGAATCCTTTCCCATTGCAGCGTTCGATGCCCGTGACATGGGGTGACCACCGCGCCACTTAAGAGACAGTGACGCTTGAGAACGATGCATGGTCACATCAGAACTGTTAACTTTCAGGCTCAGTGTCAACCAGTTCACTCTCGATTAGTGCAGTGCAACATCGGATCAAAGCACACGAATTCTCATTAGACATCCCACAGTATTGCTCAAGCATTTGCTTTTTTTACCCATTGTCGTTCGCATTCCAGCCTATCCGCACGCATGATTACGACGGCGTGTGCCGATTCGCATGTGTTTATCGTCGCTGCTTGTATTTCTCCAGCCGGATGCTTGCGCCTCCCATTTCTGACGTGTAGGCAGTGCCACAGTTGAGGTCATTTCACTATTTACCGTACGATTCTCCACGACTGTTTTCGTCTGTGTTTGGACCCTGAATGTAGGAGGAATCGGGCTCCGTACATCGCGTTTTCTCGACCGATGCCTTGCCACCATGCCGTCGTTCATTTTCTTCGTTTATTAAAATCAATCTTGGCAATAACTAAAATATCCAAATACCCGACTTTTTTCCTTATTCTTCTTTCCTTTTATATACGTCGTTTGAATGAAGAACTTTTTATCTGCGCTATCCGCTGCTCACCAGTCGTCTACAGCAACACCTGCGGTCAGTTGGTAAGTTTCTCTGTTCGGGTACTCTTTCATATGGGTCCCTCACGTATGTTTGCAGACAACGGACACATCCGACAACCTTGCTGTCTTAAGCACCAAACTGAATGACCACCGTGAAGTCCACTCCGAGGGGACTATCGATTGCTGGAAGCGCGTCCGATATATGTCTATTGCATCACTCTTTTCGCTTGAAACTGTACGGGTGTTTGGTCTCAATTCTTGCAGACTATTGCCACTGATTGTGTCGGTGCCACAAGCACTTGTCTTGGTGCCGGTGCATCGTACCAAATTCCTCCGTTAAGTGTCAATATCAAAAGTCGCCTATCGACGCCATCTATCTAATAAACTAGAACGGACAATAAACTGTAATTTCTATCATGGAGACTACGCGTTTCCCAACTGGAGTTCTGTCGGGGGCGACATATGCGTTATTTTTATTCTTGCGTCTGTTAGTTTTTATTGTTTACCGGTCATAAATCTGCTTATAACATAGTTCCTGTGTCTCTTGTGTTTCCACTTCACATACTTCTCTCTAGCATACTCCTGATTTCGTAGGATTTATGTATCTCACATATTAGCAGACGAATTAATACCTAAGCAAAGTTATGGGCCGAGGCGGCGTATTGGTAGCAAATTCACTAGGACGTTGTTACCCACTTGTTCATTCATATGGATGAAGATGGTCTATCTTGAAAACTCGAAATGCCTAGCAGCGGGGCGATTGAACTTATTTAGGTTTCGGGAGCCGGTGTCCAGCAGTCAACTGGCGCTTCTCTTCACCGACAGCAAACACTGATTGCACCCATGACACCTCATACCGTAGGCTGACAAGGGCCAGATGCATCATGCACCTCCCGCGAGGTTTGAAGGCACCTTTACAGAGAACCCGGTGAGCATTTGCGCTGCTAACTTCCCCTCCGCCTTGCGCCTATACCCAGATATTCCCCCATCACAACTTATGTTGCGGGCTTTTAATCTGCTCTACGCGGAAGTAACTAGTCATCCTTGAGTGCTGCGTTATGGATTGTTGGTAAAAACTTGTGACATTTTTATGCTACAGGATCGCATTCACTCTAGGCGGCGCCACCACACCTTATAGTGCTTATTCTAGCAAATTCTTACGTTTTTTGTTGCAAATATGTATGTTCATAGTCCATTTGCTGAATTATTTGAGGTCATCATATTTTATACTGATTTTCACCATAATCTACTTTCGACGGCAGTCCAACGTCTAGTAACGATCCGCTCGGTCGTATAGCAGTGGGAGATGGTGCCTCTATAGATTTTGCTGCCGATAACGGGGATGTACTTCAGAAAGACACGCAGCCTTCTTTTGGTCATCTTCCTACAAGTCGCATGGTGGCCGCTTTGGGCGAACCGACATCACCTCTCCAAAGCGGCTCCATCTGTGCCACACCTCCCGTAGAGTTGGGAACTCATCCCAACACGAACGTACCTCAGCCAACGCCCATCAGAGAGCTCTCCGGATTAACAACCGAGACAAATACTGGTATGTTGACTGCGTTACTGAACCGGTACCTTCAGTTAGTTTGGTTGAAATTTCATCCCGAGACCACTCGGAAGTTAGGTAATTTGAATAAACTCCCTATTCCGTTCAATTTGATGCACTTGTTCATCGGTTGGTTGTTCCTTCCATTCTGTCTACAGAATCCGTGGGGAATGAAATCAAACAATCAGGAGAAAATTGCGTTGAACTACTCCCGAATTCCCGCTCTCCACCGACTGTCACCCTAGCCTCGTCTGCACCATCAGACATCTCGCTCGACCAAACACAAAATTGCAATTCCTCTGTCTCATACAGCTTTTCAAACGTACGAACCACAACAACTACAACTTCTCATCCAACAGCGATGGATTGCGACCTCTCACAATCTACAGCGGAAATGAAACGTGTTCCGTACGTTTAATTACAGCCTCCCATTTTCTTACCGTTTTTCTCGTTTGTTAAGACCTCCGTGTTTCGTCTACGCCGTTTGTTGGGTATTGCTTATAGCTAAAGACCCCCAGTATTCCGCGGTGGTGAAGCATTTTTTCCGCGGTCAAAACCAAAGATTCCTCGAAATTTCTGCGGCTCTAACTTGAACTCTGTGAGTTCACTTCGAAAACTATAATTAACAGAAACCAAAGCACTCTCATCTACTATATGCATGGCAGTCATGATTACAAACAGAGGAATTAAAACAATCCAGCAAGGTCTGAAAGATTGTGACGCTGAAGCTCCGTTCAGCGTCTACCGAGTTCATAGGAATACATTAGATAATGGCCGGCAATGTCTTCTAGTTGTAAAGTTCTTTCATTCATCCCGCACCAGAAGGCAGGTATGTTTTTACATTTTTCTAGCTGCAGTTATTCTACCACTTTTCGATAGATTACCCATTCGGCTGCCGGAGCTGGAGAGCCAACCAGGCCAGGGATGTCGCTACAGCTACATGGATCACTGGACAAGACGCTGAGCTGGTTGGGGTCAAACACTTTAATGGCTTTCAAAAACGGCCAGCTAGCCTTTGATGTCAGCAACTCTTGGCCTTTTATGGCAGCTCGGGAGAAGCTAAGTTGCATTTCAGTTTGCATTTTGCTAGACGCATCCAAGATCAGTCTCTCTGCTTGCAGATGATGCAGCCAGTTTTCCTCAGCTGCAGGTTTCAGCGAAATAGATAGATCGGATAGGTCGTTATAACTCTTATGGGTTACCGGAGACTGTGATTCAGCAATTTTCACTGACGGTTGATGTTATTGCCAACGGTCACAATGCAACTTTGTTGCCATCTCAAAGTTTTCTTTGTTGACTCCTTAGTTAGAATATCCCTAAGTTCACAAACACCAGCTGAGTCTCCAAACTCATGTTATACAGCTTGCAACATAGCTGTCATGATGGAAATATTGGCTGTGCTGTGCGACAGCTTCTAGCCAGGAGTTCCAGCAAATGATGACCGGTACATGTGAACTTGTCGGAGTATTCACGCCTTCCTGAGTTGGATACTCAGTGCAGACACACACCTGTTTCTTCCCGAAAGAAGAAAAGCATTTTTTTATTTTTGCACCTGATCCGTCGACTTCCGGAGAGAATTTGCGAAGGATTTCAGTAAAATCAAATTGATGCAATGGGCGGCACAGCTAACATGAACTGCATCCTCACTAACAAACTTTATGACATCTCGGTAGCACGCGCCATCGGAAACGAAAGCCTTCACACGACTAAAGTCTGTACTCATCATTATCAAGCTACGCAGAATGAATCCTCCAACTTTGGAAGAATTGACTCTTTCCATTTTGCCCGTATCGATGAGGAGGTATGCTCGCAGACTGAGCATAACAGGATGTGCAGTTTCACCTTCCCGCATGAGCAGAGAAATGGGATATGGTTGTGTAATGTATGAATGCATGGGTGATACTGGGGTCGGGGTAAAACCGCAGCTGTAGATGGGAATGGTAAGATAGGAGAACTTGAATAACAGATGACTGTTGTGATAGCGAGCTGGTTTCTTTGGCATTTTTTCCCATATATATTGTTGTTGAAATTTATGTTGATATGTTGCTTACGAAAAACAAATCCAAAGAAATTTTCTCCGTGAATTTTTCATTTTTATCGCAATTCCGCAAAAATTTTCCTCTTCTGCGACATTTAGTAAACTTTGCGACTTTTCTACTTTTCGCAGAATCGTGGAAAATTGGGGTCTTTACTCATAGGCAATGAGAGCACAACGTTAGCAGTACTGAATTTTGGATTGCCCGCTAGACTCGAGCAACGCGTCGACCAGTGCTGACGTACCATCCCGCCATGCACCGTCTGTTGTTGTGTTGCCCGCAGTGGCCTAAGGAATTGCACACCTGGCTTGCAATCCTGTGGTCACCGGTTCGAATCCACCTAGGGGCGTGCATCCTCGTCGTATACTCAGCCTATGCGCGACTGTAGCAGCGAAGCGTCTGCACCGTGTGCCGGCGTACTGCTAACGACTTTTTCTTTTTTGCGTATAATGGAGTGAGACAGCCGGGGTCACTGGTTAGCGATGTAGGCTAATTACGGTTGCCACATCATATCTTCCTCGAAGAGGACCTCGGGATGGGATATATCAGTGGTTGCTCACATCTGACACGGCACGGTTTCAAAGCTAGCAGCGCTGTTCCATCTAGTCGTTACTGTTCCAACTTTGCCTATTTTTTCTTACCTTTTTCTTTGCATGCTGTCGGCGTTCTACCTCATTCGATACCGCTCTTACTGCTGTTATCCTGGCGACGCGATGCTTGGCGATTTGGCTTATCACATTTCGGCAATTAGATCATAGTTATTCAACCAGACTGAACTGAACTGCTCGTTGTTTGTAGACTTTGGCGAGAGTACCAAGTGAGCGAAGTCGGATAAATTAACACAATTTATTACTAACTATAGGACAGACCCAGTAATGTAAGACAGAGCGTTTAAAGTTTGACCCACTCGATTTTTATTTGGTCTCAAATGAGATCCGGGCTGGTCCAGGATGCATGGTATGTTCGGTAAATGCAGTGAAATGGCTTTCACTTACTAGTGACTCAACCTATCCGTCGGCGAAGATTTCCCGCTCGCGGATGACCTAATACAACATCATCGATCCGTCTACTCTCTGGCTGCTTTATAAATCCAACGGTGGTAGTAATACTTGATTGATCATTCTCACCCAGAAGCTGTTTCACACACACAGTTGACATACGCCGGGATTCCGATTCCGGCCGGTGCTTGGAATCGGTTGACCTTTGCACTTCCTCGGATCCATATGTCTACTTGTCACAGTAACGGATCTCTGTTTGGCGAATTTCCAGTAAATCTTATCTTATTCTGCGAACATAATCCTCTGTTGCGCGACTGCCTCCATCCTCTGCAGCTGTGTTAACAGCGATGGTCGTTGGACTGCTGAATTTAGCTCGTGTATTAACGAAAGCTTGAACCCACGACATCTGCCATATCAAGGTATTTTCTTCCATCAAATAGACTGTATGTACACCGCCACGGTGTAGACCGTCCTATTCTGAGGGTGACTTGATCCCTTCGGTTTGTGGATTTGGAGCGCTTCTAGGTCTTCGATCATCGTTGTCTACGCAGCACTGCTGGTGTTGGATGACACCACAGTTTCCGCAACAATCATGTGCGCAAGCGAGTACTATACCATTTTACACGCATGTTAACGCATTGTACCAAGCTTTTAGCGTGGCACATTTTCGAAATCGCGTGCAATGCTTTCAAGTTAGCGAGGCTAAGAACGCTGTTTTGGCGTCATTGACACTCTCATTGGTCATGGGACGTTAGCCAATGGGACACCGGTTGGAAACCCCCAGCATAAGCGACAGACAGTCCAATGAAAGTGGTCGAGCACCACCTTCTGTTCTATTTTGATGCCTATCGGAAAGAAACCTCGATGATTGGCCTCCAAACTGAAACCGTCCAATGGGCAACTTGTGATGCCTGTCTAAGGAGGAAATCCTAGCTACCACATGATCCGAAGCTTAAGTCGTAACCAGTGCGGACAGACATACTAACCAGCACATGAAGCGGTCTATACTTAGTGATCACTAGCGGCTACCTGGTGCTGGATTATTCAGCGGCCTAACCATTGTGATGTAGACAGGCAGTCTTCTAACTGGGATTCCGCAGTTCAACAATGGCTGCTAGGCGGTTAGACAATTTTGTGCGATTCTTATTGCGACGATCATGGGGGACATTGTTTCCCTGGGAGTTGGTAGGCCAACCTGAAACTGAACAACGAAAGTTCTATGTTTGCTTACTCCTATCACAGTTGATGACTAAACACAAACTAAGAGGATTCCAAGCGTGGCGTTGACACGACGTTCGTTAGTGAGTGTTCGTTTGTCTCCACACCCATGGGCGACCTTGTTAATTAATTGTCGCTTCAGTGTCTCCATGTATGGCGTTATGTAAACGTCATAAGTACCTACGTATTCATAGGCTAATTAGGCTTCACTTCCATATGTCGCCCATACGTGTTGAGACGATTTGACAAGTTGCTCTCCGAATGGCACCATTAGAAGCACAGTCAATAAAGATGGAACTTCCCTATTACGTCCATGGACTGGAATGCTGTCCTCATAAAATCGGCCTTACTCAGCAAAGAAACACCTATAGGGGCTACAAGGAGTACGGTGTTTATACATGTCACATTGTCCTGCTATAAAAAACGCAAGGCTGATAATTAGTGGTGAAGCACGCCTTTTACTCTGGTAATTCAAGTGAGTACTTGGAACAGGCAAACACTGTTGTTTCACCCACGGGCGTTTCTACAATGTGTTTGCAATCATTTACAAAGGCAACCGCGCCCACTAATCCTGCTATGGACCACTGTTTCAGCTAGTCTTAGAAGCAGTCATGTGTGCACGCCGTGACACAGGTTATTATCGACTTGGCAACTACTGGGAAACATTTTGTTATTGGAAAATAGGAGGAAAATTGCTCCAAACTCTATGCTTACTATGCGTATGTAATGCTCGTTGGTAGATCATATCCGGGCCGTAGGGTCACTTGGGATTTCAAGCTTATCAATCACTTGGAAGTGAAGTGTGAATATCATGTTGAAACGCAGGATTGATATGCATCTTACGACTTTAACATAATGGCAGGTCCATGGGTCCTGAGGCGGTAACTGATTACCGAAATGGCCCACAGGTGTGGAGACGAACGAACACTCACTAATGTCTTGTCACTGCCACACTAGGAACCCTCCTCTTTGGAACAATGACTACAGATCCACTGATGGTCTTACTTACCCAGCGAACTTGGCCTTAATATACTATTCGCTGACTACATCAACAGTACGTAGCTACGCTATTCACATGAGTGTACGGCCCACTGAAACAACAGCACATGAACCTTGTAGCTGTAAGGGCTTTAAAATTTCCATTTGCGAACAAGTCCTAGATTTACCTCCTTCGTACGAAGTACTGTATTGTTTATGATTACCTCACACTGCCTTAACAATCACAATCATTTCCTCAACGAAACGGCATACGGATCGATTCTCCAGATTGCTCGCAGTGGCACGATTACACTATGCATACCGTATCAAGTGTGGCCATATAGGTAAGCGAGCAAGGAAGGCAACCGTGCAGTCAACCCGTAAGCCTTCAAAACTTCTCTTCCAACAGCCTGCAAGGGAAAGTCGCATGGAAGCTATGCGGCCGATGCCGCCTTATTTCTGCAAGGTAGTCACTGTTTGTGAACGTGTGTTTTTTAATGGAGTGCAGTGTGATCCTGATTGGTTCTAGGTTGCTTGCCTCTTTCATTCTTCACAGCTTGACTGGCACTCGGGAAACCCACATTCGCGAGAAATAGACAGGGTTTCTTCGAAACCGATGATGTGTTGACCACGGCTTCACATAATCTAAGTTACAGGAACACCGCGATATTTATAGGCGACCCACCGTCGTCGTTTTTCTCGACATCACAGGTGCCTTCGATTCAGTGGACCAAGGTGAACTATCAGACTGTCTGCTCAGGAGTGCTGTGCTATGCAAATATCATAAGAGCGTTTGTCGGGCAGAGTGAGTGTTTATGGCGAACTGTCGCTGTCCTTCAGTATCTACAGCGGTGTGAAATAAAGTTGCTTGCTGTCAATCTTCATTTTCATTTTCCTCATCGTAGACGTCATGGAAACTGAGTTCACGGCAAGACGTACAGTGTGTGAAGCTGCCTTTAGGTGAACAGCTTCTTGACTTGAAGTGCGCCGACGACACTGCCCTTATCTGTGACAGCTCCCAAACATGTCAAGCGTCTCTGGGCAGGTTAACATTAGCTGTCGATCGTTTCCGGTTATGTTTTGCACCCTCGAAATACCAAGTCCTCCAGGATTGACAGGGACCCATCCCTGTGTTGTTTCTTAGCATTGATAAGCTAGAATTCGTCCAGAAATTCAAGTACCTAGGCAGCTATGTTAGCGTCTGTGAAATCGAAGATGAAAGCTTGAACCGTACATATATATATATATATATATATATATATATATATATATATATATATTGCACTTCGTCATTTTTGTGGTATTGACCTGATATCTCAGCAAACATTCTTATTTTCTTATATAAAACCTAAGCTGGAATGCGTCGATTCACCACTTGCTCAACACTTTGCTCTAACACTGTCCGTTGCTTCATTAGGGAGAAGTGCACCGTGAACGCCCACTCTGGGAAGCTGCGCAGAAGAAAGAAGACAGGTTGGTTATTTTTATCTTGTTTCTGCACAGTTATCGACCTGGAATTTCCTTTATGCTCTTCGAATGCTTGTGTGTGCGCGCATTCTTTATACTTTATTCCCACGACTGTGTCGTAAATTGAGGCATTTAGCTATGAGTTCGTTGCTTTGTAGCTAGTCACTCTGCTTTTGAGTACTTTTGTAATTAATCGACGTAGTTTACTTGTCTCACTCCATGGTAACTACTGTCTATCCATCTTAGGATCATGTACGGTAGTTATTTTGTCCATTTACACATTTCAACTATATTACCACGGTCACATCATATTCTATGCAGCTCCAGCGGATTAACCACAATCGGTACACCAAAGTGCGGGACATTCGGCTGTCCTCTGCTAGGTGGCTTTGGTCTCAAGCGGTCATGGGTTCAATCCCCAGTATGGGACCGAGGGAATGCGCACCACTGACGAGCCCCAACAGAGAGAAACGCGTCAAATGCTTCTCTGAATTAGGCTGTGCTATGTGGGTTGAGCTAATGGGATGAATGCTTTAAAATTACAATTAAACTCTGGCTACTCACGAGTAATATAAAATTTCATAATGCCTAAATGGTTTAGGGAAGGCATCAAGGAATTGAAGCCGCCAACTGAATGGGTTTTGGCAGTAGGGACAGAGAAACTAGTTCACGATTACCACCAATTTGCCTAAGCGACAGAATGCCCAAAATGCAGCAGTGGTTGTTCTGATTAATCTCAATGTCCATTGCAACATCACTCCTTTCACACCATAGCGTCTGTTTTCTCTTATGATCCAAAGAACTGTGCTTTAGGCTTCTAAACATTTGTCCAACGAGGAATGTCTAACACCTACACTTTCCCGCGTCTGAACAATATGCTCAGGTTTGTTTATTTCGTGTTGCTTTCTACAGCACACCTAAATGCAGCTAAAGAAACGAGGTTCCCACCACAACGTCCGCTCCCGTTACGTGGATCGATGGTGTCATTTGGAAACACAACAAAACCCTTACTTTGTTCGTCCAAACAACCCCAACTCTCCTCCACCGACTGTCCACTTGACCGAGATGGTCGTCCTGCACCCCTTCTCACAATGGAGGACTTGCTCGAGTGGCAATGGAATCAGGCTGGCAATCTGCTTATGCATCACGTAGATGGCACTGATGGTACGTACAGCTTTCACTTTTGTTTACCTTGGCCCATACTCCAGAGCCGTTTTCTGATAGTGCACTTCAGCTGCATCTCTTCTAGGTACCTGTGCGTTAAAATCTCGATAATTCGTACCAGAGCTCAGTGGTATCGCTCCGCTGTCAACAACGACGATTTGTGCTAAGCAATTGCTGCCGATGGTAACAAAAGCGATGCACATCGAATTGGGAAAAACTGTCTAAGCACCACCCTCGTCGTCTAGACTCGACTGTCGGCACTCGCTCGAGGGTGACCCGTGAAGCAACTGTGGTGCGCTTTTGTTGAACAGTTTCTCTTTTCTTCGTGGGTTTGCAAACATGACTTCCTACATGTCACAATCGGATCTGTACTCATCGACAACTGGGCATCTGTGCTTCATAATAGTAATCCATTGCTATTTATTATCCTAATTGTTTTAGCAATAAAACGCAAGAGTACAAAACCTAGATGCAAGCAAATAAACAGGGTCAGTGTGCCGGAACGTTGTCCACAACGTTGATTGTCATGTGAAGATGAGGCGACATGGGCGGTTTTCACTGCCCCACACGTCGTAATCAGCATTGTTCCCCAAGCAAATCATCCGCTACGCCCCCAGTGCAATTAAGAGATGACAGCAAACGCACTAATACCGTCGGTTCCGAGCAACTTCCTGTGTATGGTCTGCAAACAGCTGCCAGTCAGATACGTTAACAACACTCGCTTCAAAAGCTAGCGCGTTCCTTTCTTATGACCAGGTCAACGGTTGCATTTCGCGATTCCCATTGCATCCAGCACCGGATAAGCAAAATAAACCCCTCCTCGGCAAGCCACCGCGTTTTTTAGGCCAGGAGAACTAGTACATAAGTTTCTTGGCTTCTACTACAAATTAGGTTGATGATGGCGAGAAATAACTCGAGATCGTTGTTGTTAGGTATAACGGTTTCATGTAAGCATTCTAGTGGTACAGTGAACGTGGAATCTTTCCAATTGATCCGCTCCATCCTACAATACAGTTATGAATCCTTATCCACCAAATTGACCGAGGTAAATATACTCATTGGGTGCGATCACCGGTGCTATCGTAATTTGGCTCCTATCAAGTGAGAACACCGCGTGTGCAATAAACCGCTCAGTGCTGTTATTCCACGCACCAGGCTCCGATGGATTAGCCATGGGTTATGCATGCCAACCGGGCTTTGGATGGAAGATGGGAGGTCAACTGATGACTTGGTCAAGAGGAATGAAGACCGGTATGAAGTTGACATCAGTTTGAATCTCTCAAGTTCAATTTTTTGCATTCGAAAGACGATAAATACGTTTCGTTGAAAACATTTGTTGATATCGCGAAGTATCGACGTTCGCGTTGTTTGTGTTGTGGGTTTCTTTGTGCCTCCCCAGCCCATTTAGTCCCATTCTAACCATGATATCAGTGCACGAGAGAAAGCATAATATTCGCTTTATTCATATTTTTGTCGTTATATTTTCCTTTTTTGCTGCCATCTAATTGTACTGTTTGGCAGCACAATAGTTGGGATGTTTTCTTTCCTTAGCGAATGTGGAGAGTGATTGCATGATCTTTGAGGCAGGCAGACGTACTCGAATCAACGTAATGTAACCACCTCTGTTTGATGACCTGACGAATGAAACATATCCGCCAGTTATGTATGATATAATAAAATTGGGCTTTCAAGCTGTGATTAAGAACACAGATTGTGTTAAACAGTCGTTCCCGTAGCCAATAGATTCGTTCGCAATCATTCTGTCACGTCGCTTAGAGCAGCTAACTCGAGGATGAAATGTGTGCAAGCAAAGCAATGGGGCCCAGTCATCGTGATCCATCACTTTCCCAGTAGGTTACTGTGGGCCACATACTGTATGTGCGAGTCTCAACACTTGCATAGGCCAGGTCTTGTGAATCTAGTCTCTTGATTTGATACGGTTTAGTCGTTCCTAATGGGCTGATTGCAGTTTTCTTTTGTTACCATGCGAATGGCATTGGATCTACAGTCCAACCTGCTATCCCGATCACCTATCTATGGCGATCAGCCAGAAACATCTCCAACTTTTTCTCCCATGAACAATGCCCCTATGCATGAACCTGTCTAAGGCGACCATTTTGTCGGTCCCTTATTGCACGCCTTAGACAGGTTTGATTGTATTTGTGCACTTCGGTTGAGAGTAAGTGACTCGTGTTTAAGCAGTCACCACTTTCCTGCACTAATTTCATCCAAGTTTGGACATAGCACTCGACGCACTGGATTCCATTTAACGCTGTTCCATCGTCTAATCTAGGAGTCACCAAACGTTTTCCAGGGCGGGTTGGATAATTACTTATAAAGATGAGTAGCGCGGGCCGGTTGGCTGGAGGAGTTACTTGCGCGGACCGGAAAGCTGACAAAATGACTATCATCAGCCGCATAGTCATAGTGGGCAGTGCTTGCAAAATAGAACGAAAACTCAGAGGGGAGAGACAAATAAAACGCGACACTCAGTGTTCCCCTAGTGAAGGCCGAAATAATGGGCATCTGCATAAGAAAAAGATAGTGGATTACAAAGGTTATAAAAGTCCCAATAAAACTCCGGAAAACAGAGGGCTAGTGGTCATTAATGAAACTACGGCTCATCAGGGTACACGTACACTTCATCGGTACCTCCGGTTATGGAATATATTATATAAGAATGTTTGATATCAATTCCGCACTGCACTGTGGATCAGGCTAATGAGTCGAAGGCTCCCGGCAGAATCCCTCAAGCAAACCTCCAAAGCACCCACTGCCTTGTAGATCAGGCTATTGAGCCAAACGCTCCGCGTGGAGTCCCTCAAGCAAACCTCCAAAGCACAACCGCCACCTCGCGTGCGATTGCCCACCAATGCAATCGTAGGCCCGCGCGCATAACACTCAGCATCGGGTGCTGGAACGTGCGCACACTACTGGACCGGAACTCCAGTGAACGCCCCGAGCGACCCACTTCACTGATCGCGATAGAATTGGCGCGGTACAACACCGATGTTGCGGCGCTCAGTGAGACCCTGCTCGCCGTTTAGGGTAAGTTGCATGAAACAGGTGCTGGTTACACGTTCTACTGGGTTGGCAACGGCACCACAGCACCATGTAAACATGGGGTCCGATTTGCAATATCCGATCGCCTAAATGGCCAGCTGGTGGGTGAACCAACAGGCATCAGCGCTGCCCTACGACTCAGAAGAGGTACGTTTGCCACTTTTATAAGCACGTACGGACCGACCATGTGTTATCCTGATGCCACGCGTGATCAATTCTACACTCAGCTATTCTCCGTGATACAGTTTGTGCCGAGAAGCGACCGACTATTTCTGCTGGGTGATTTCAACGCGCGCGTTGGGCGTGATGCATCGGTGTGGAAAGATCTCATCGGTCAGCATCGCATTGGCGAAGCGAATGCGAACGGTTACAGTCTGCTCTCGCTGTGTGCCACTCGCGGCATGACGATCACGAACACTCGATTTGCACTGAGTGCGGGTGATATAGCAATTTGGACTCATCCATGGAGTGATCACGCTCACCTGCTCGACTATGTCATCGTACGTCAGCGTGATATGCGTGAAGTGCGCATGACACGTGTACTGCGTACAGCCGTGTGTGACATTGATCACAAATTGGTGCGAACCAAACTGTACATATATTTTCGTAAATCTTATATTTCATCCCCGCCGTGAATCGGCGTACATTTAATATTCTCTCCCTCGGTACTGTAGCGAAATGTATTGAGCTGAAGAACCCTATGGCTGCACGCCTGTGTGATGTGGACTGCATAGCCACAGTGGGCGACCTGTGGCACAACATTCGCGACCAGGTGACAGCTACTGCCGTGGAGACGATCGGGTGCTCGCACTTCATGTGCAAATCATCGCGAGATTAGTCTTATTTCGGTTGCCTTTAAGCTGTTGGCATCCATTCTACTTCGTAGACTATCCCCAGTACGTGAATCGTACTACCGTGAAGAACAAGCTGGTTTCCGTCCTGGCCGCGGATGCGTGGATCAAATCTTCACGCTCCGCCAACTCCTTGAACATCGCCACATTTATCACAGGCCCACTATCGTTGCATTCCTAGACATACGTGCCGCTTTTGACTCCGTTGATCGACCTGCTTTATGGCGTTGCTTACTAAAGAACGGGGTGCCAGAGAAATATATCGCCATCTTACGAGCACTTTACCTTCACACATCCGGCAGAGTGAGGGTCTATGGCAAGCTTTCCTCGCAATTCACTGTCAATAGCGGTGTGCGACAGGGCTGCCCTATGTCCCCATTCCTCTTCAACTTCGCAATCGAAGACGTTCTGTCGAATGCCCTAGAAGGTTTCCAACATTTTGGCCTAGAGCTTCTACCGGGTGAGCGCGCGACCGACTTAGATTATGCTGATGATATCGCCTTACTTGGTGACGATCCTCAGGGTATGCAACTCATTCTGGATCGTTTGGCGGTTGAAGCATCTAAGTATGGCATGAGCTTCGCCCCATCGAAGTGTAAAGTACTGCTCAAGGATTGGCTTTCACCTGCACCCGTGCTCACTCTCCAAGGTGCACAACTTGAACAGGTAGATAGTTTCGTCTACCTTGGGAGCTGTGTTTCCGTTGACGGCACAATCAACAAAGAAGTTTCGCTTCGTATCGCTAAAGCTCGATCAGCATTTGTCAATCTGAGGCACTTGTGGCGTCGTCGCGACGTCTCATTCTCACTAAAGGGCCGAGTTTACAGCGCGTCCGTTCGCTCAGTATTGTTGTACGGGAGCGAGTTCTGGCCGATTCGCGTGGAAGACATGCGTCGTCTTTCTGCGTTCGATAACGGTTGCTTAAGGAGGATCGCTCGTGTTCGGTGGCAACATCGAGTTACCAGTAATGACGTTCGACGTCGCGTCTTGAGGAATGCAAGTATTTCCTTCAACAAACTGGTTTTGTTGCGCCAGTTAAGATGGCTCGGTCATGTCCTACGCATGGCACCTGAGCGTCTACCGCGTCGCGCTCTATTCGCTCGTCAAGGACCTGGCTGGAAGCGACCGCGTGGTGGTCAGCCTTCCACTTGGCGGCAGCACATGAAATCGCTGACGTCGTGCCTAGCCGCTGTTGGACCCGTACGTCTTCCAGGATGGGGACCCAAAGATGGCGAGTGCCAATGGCTTAGGACACTTGAAGACATGGCCCGCAACCGGAATCAATGGAAGAATTGTGTACAGTGTTGTGTTGATTCACATGTTTAATTCTACAAAAATTGAAAATGACAAAAAAAGAGAAAAACCGGCGTGTGACAAACAAACTAAAAATGTTTTGTTCTGTATTTTTGTCAAAATATTCCATTTTCTTGCGGCATATTAGCTGAAGTGTGTTGCCCACCTTCAGCTAGCATGCCATGACGATTATGACGCAATGACTGTCTCTTATACACTGATTTCCATGGTTTTCTTGGCTCTATGTCTAGTTACTAGACTGTTGAGATTACATACATGGTTGGCGGCATCCGGTTTCGGATTTGCCTGTCACTGTGGCAAGCCACAGGACGCCTGCGCCTACAGAGGGACCATGGATGGCTTGCGCTGCACCACCCACAGCTCCAACCACATACCCCATATCCAGTGTAAACCCGAAGGAATAAGACCGGGAGGCATGCGGATGGGAACCACGTTTCATCAACGGAGCCGGCCCACACTCCTTCACAGGCAAACACAAGCACGCTGTATTTGGGAATCAACCGCACACAAGGCGGTGGCTGGACCGTAGTCCGCTCCACACTGAGTGCATGGAACCGCTCTTGAGCCTAGCACGGCCACAAGAACCGTGCACCCCGTCCCCTCCAGCAACGACCAACTGTCTCCTGGAGCCAGTATGAACGATGTAGTGGGTAATAGACAGGTAGGCACCTTGTCAACATACACATCAAGCGCAACCATACCAGGGATATCAAACAACAGCCATTCAATTTAAACGACAAGCTGAAATAAAATAAATCCAATAATGCATACAGATACGGTGGCATAACTCTTCGCTAAATTACCATATGAAGTAAGTTGGTCAGCAACAAATCCGTGATAAGTAAGAAATGTCCACAAGTTACTTAAAATGCTACAAACGCAACAAAATTACCGAAGATAAGCGCAATTAGTGTAAGCAACGTGGCCAGTTAATAGAACATTATTCAGGGAGGCAGAACAAACCAAATAAAGCGGAATGAAATTTATCCAGCTGAAAAAGACCTAGTTTAAGTGTAAGTTGGTTTAGCCCAACTGCGGTGAAGAAGCATCAAGAATGCAACATCAGCCTCAGCATGGGGCACACATACATACATGGTTGGCGGCATCCGGTTTCGGATTTGCCTGTCACTGTGGCAAGCCACAGGACGCCTGCGCCTACAGAGGGACCATGGATGGCTTGCGCTGCACCACCCACAGCTCCAACCACATACCCCATATCCAGTGTAAACCCGAAGGAATAAGACCGGGAGGCATGCGGATGGGAACCACGTTTCATCAACGGAGCCGGCCCACACTCCTTCACAGGCAAACACAAGCACGCTGTATTTGGGGAATCAACCGCACACAAGGCGGTGGCTGGACCGTAGTCCGCTCCACACTGAGTGCATGGAACCGCTCTTTGAGCCTAGCACGGCCACAAGAACCGTGCACCCCGTCCCCTCCAGCAACGACCAACTGTCTCCTGGAGCCAGTATGAACGATGTAGTGGGTAATAGACAGGTAGGCACCTTGTCAACATACACATCAAGCGCAACCATACCAGGGATATCAAACAACAGCCAGTTCAATTTAAACGACAAGCTGAAATAAAATAAATCCAATAATGCATACAGATACGGTGGCATAACTCTTCGCTAAATTACCATATGAAGTAAGTTGGTCAGCAACAAATCCGTGATAAGTAAGAAATGTCCACAAGTTACTTAAAATGCTACAAACGCAACAAAATTACCGAAGATAAGCGCAATTAGTGTAAGCAACGTGGCCAGTTAATAGAACATTATTCAGGGAGGCAGAACAAACCAAATAAAGCGGAATGAAATTTATCCAGCTGAAAAAGACCTAGTTTAAGTGTAAGTTGGTTTAGCCCAACTGCGGTGAAGAAGCATCAAGAATGCAACATCAGCCTCAGCATACATACATACATACATACAGAGAACTTGGGCAGAACAGATGCAGCGTTTGTAGGCACGCTGCATTCTATTTACTAATCGCGTGCTTGCATGCTGAGTCTTCATTTCAGGTGGTGGGTTTGCTGTATTGTCCTAATTTTCGTAAATCTGTTAATGTCTACCCGAATTATCTTCTATTAATTTGCACACGTCGCTTAAACCAATTGTAGTTAACATTCTTCGCGTTTGTAACATTTTCTTAAAATATGTTTTCTGTCGTCTAAGTTATCGCGAATTTGCTTATAACCGATTTATTTTATATGCTTATTTAGTGAAGAGTTATGTCACCGCATTTGGATACATTATTCGATTTATTTATATGTTATCGTCGTTTCAAGAGATTGGCTGTTGCTTGATATCCCCGTTGTGACTGCGCTTGATGTGCATGTTGACAAGGTGCCTACCTGTCTATTACCCACTATCTCGTTCATACTGGCTCCAGAAGACAGTGGGTCGTTGCTGGAGGGGACGGGGTACACGGTCCTTGTGGTCGTGCTAAGCTCGAAGAGTGGTTCCATGCACTCATTGTGTAGCGGACTACGGTCCAGCCACCGCCTTGTGTGCGGTTGATTCCCCAAATGCAGCGTACTTGTGTTTGCCTGTGAAGGAGTGGGTGCCGATTCCGTTGATGCAAAGCGGCTCCCGTCCACATGCTTTCCGGTCTTATTCATTCGGGTTTACACTGGATATGGCGTATGTGGTTGGAGCTGTGGGTGGTGCAGCGCAAGCCACCTATGGTCCCTCTGTAGGCGCAAGTGTCCTGTGACTGGACACAGTGACAGGCAAATCCGAAAGCGGATGCTTCCAACCATATATTAAGTGCGGCGACGAACTTGGAAACCTTAAGTGAAACGTTTCCATCAGAGTCAACTCAACAAACAGGTGATACTTTCATGAATTTAGCTGTGCAACCATGTACGTAGCTCAATAATTTACGATTGCAACGGAATCCCGTACTAACAGCTTGCAACTCGTCTCACATTGCTACAACATATGGCTTCCAAACCATACGTGCGGAGTTTTATATGACGCGTGTTTTCAGGGAGCTGATCAACGGAATATTGCGACACAAACGTGCGGGGTAAACACAAGCCCAGTAGGTTGCACAGGTGAATAGTTTTCATTCACTGATAATACGGTACTACCGTGTCACGTGTAACAACCATGAGCTGGCTCACCCTGGTGTTCAAACAGTATATAGTCACGGACAACAGGACATGCAATATCAAATGTAAGTTGTATCACAGCGTCTCGTGTTTCATATGCTTTACCAGATACTTTGGGGCACAGTCGGCTGGCCGGATCCTGCCCACGGGCCGTAGTTTGGTGACTCCTGATCTAACCAATCCGGACTACTAATGTAGCACTTGCCGCTTTAACCTGTTTGGTGATGACACATGTGTGTAATTAGAGTGATTAACAAACTTAAACCTCACGTTATCGATATCACACCTGGATTTCTCATCGTTGTTTGATTATTATTATCGCCATTATTATCATGTTATTAGTGTATGCTTTATTCGCCTAGGTGAGGCTAAGCCTAGGCTGCCCAAATTTGGCAGCCTTGGTTAAAGCGTGAGCTAGGGGCATTATAGCACCACAACAAAGTATATAAAGGGCTTGTGCTATCACTCTTACCACCGAAGGCTGAAGTTGCTGGGAGTTTTCAACGGACGCTACCGAAGGTTGCGCAGCGACCTCATATTAGCGTACCAAATGTTGAGTGACCCCAACCATGTATGCCACCATTTGCCGAAGCTTAGCCAAAACACGCTGCTCAGGGGTAACTGTTTGAAATTGGAGGAACAATATAGCCTTCTAGAGTGTCGATGGAATTACTTTTCCCTTCGGGTTTCCCAACCCTGGAACCCACTCTCAGACTCAGTTGTACCCCCTTACTTTTGATACCATCAAAAAACGATTGGATGTTGCTCTTCGCTCCCAGCACTTCGTTACCTACACTACACCATTTGGGGATTACATTAATCATGCCATTCTACAGGATTTATGTGTCAAATAGATCCAAGGCAGCGGCGCACGCTTTACATCAGTGATCACTGCACCCTGGGTATTTCCGCATGCTTACAGTCCATTTTTATTTGAACAAACGTTACTTATCAACGCTTTTCTCTCAGTGAATGCTCGGTAAATGATTCACGTATATTTCGACTTAATTATGTTCACCCCAACCAGCCTAATGGATATGTCGAGCACTTTTATCCCGCGCGTGATAAATCATTTTTCCTTGTACCTACTCTGTCACTACATTTGTTTGCCACTCGACTGGAAGTGTACTCCACTCACAGCTATTTGGAAGATAGACAGATCCTGGATCGGAATAGGTGAATGAACATGACAACATCCCATTCACTCGCTCGGTCGAACTTACACAGATTAGGATTTTTATCCGAACGGCTACTTTAGTTGTCATATTGTCGGTTCCATATAAAAAGCACTCTCACTTTCAGACTGAATTCGTGGGGACAATTTTCACACCACTAATCTAGATGTACATTCCACATTTTCCAGTTGTTTCTCTCTTAGACAGCCTGCATAAATTAAAGTCCGAGAACGATTCGTTGGAATCCAAGCTGCTCCGTCTCAAAACTAGATATGAACATTTACGTTCTGTCAACTTGCGGCTATCTGCTTCTCTCTCCGCCATGGAATCTGCATCCACTGCTCCATCCAACGTGGGAAACGTCCCATCGTATTTCCCTTCACTGACTGCGAATGAATCATCGCAACATAATAACCATGTTCACAGACCGCGCCTGAGTGAGCCAAGTGACACTGATCCTCCCGTGACGAAGTTCCGGCATGATGCCGTCTGGCATTCGCTGGAGTCTGCCCCAACGCGTCCGTCAAATAGTGAGTTTTTTTTGGCTAAAATACAGATGAAATGAACTTCTCATTGAAGTATCCTTCGTTGACATCGCGAATTCCGGTTCGTTGACACGATGGTTCTTCATAGCCTCTCCTTGATTTCCAGTTCATAACCGGGTCGCTGTGCATGCTATTGCAATAGTTGCATGTAGATATGACACAGCTCTTTGTTTAAACTAGTATTCTATGATTGTACTTCTCTTCAACTATCCTAGTATTCCGTATGATGCATACACCTTACTTACTTCTAGGCCACCGTGATTGCTGCCCTACTTCAAATGACCCACAGCCGAGCCCCCGATCAACGGCAACACTGGTGGTTTCGCGTCCGATAGTTTGCTCTTCCAATCAGTCCACCTTCATGCATGCTGTCCCGCAGCACACGGTTCTGCAATCTCCTGTGGTCAGTTGCCGGATGATTGAAACATCCAGCTCGTTGCAGTCCCCGTCCTCGAAAAACGCAAATGCGATGCCCCAAGCAAATAGTGATTCGTACTCATCAGTCTACACTTCAAAACATGGAAGTCAGCAACACACTCGGCGACACACCACAGCAAGACAGCGGCCAGAAGACACCAATCGAGAGAAACCTAGGGCGAACGTTCAAAACCAACAGAATACCTACCTCCCCAACCGTCCGATCGATTATCTGGTATACGAGCAACCTGCACGAGTTTTATTCGGGAAATCCGGTAACTCCCAGGAACTAGTAAGCGAGCTTTTGCCGCTTATAAATAAATATAATCTCCTCTCCCATTGTGAAGCAATTTGTTTTACTTTTCAGCAAGAACTCAGTGCGCGCCTCTCTTCTGCAATCGCTGCGCGTCAGCCTTCTGCTTCGGTCAAAGCCGGATGCATACCTGAGCCGCGAAACACTTCAAGGGAACACGAAAAATCAGGACCCTACAGATCACCAGAGATTTCGCCCAGAAGCACCAATGCGATTCATTTCAGACCGGTACGCACGGAGAAAACGGTGAAATCCGATGAGCTCAATCTCGACTTTTTCAATCTACATGCGGTTCCTCGAGACCCGACGCCGTCCGCTGCTCAGCTTGTGGAGATGACACCGGCGGAAACTCGCGAGAAGACAATCAAGCCACCACATTTGGTCCACTCTTCGAGCCCGAAGATAGCCCTAAACGTCAGCATCGCATCAACAGGTACGCCCAATGAGTTCATACCTGTGATTTCAATTACATTTGATCTCTCATGTACCGCGCTACTCGTTCGGTCGGAATGATATACCTGAAAAGCGCGCCGTCTTGGATCCACGAAATACAGATGATAGTAGTAAGCTTCTATCAAGTTAATACTAAATTTAGAAGATGCAACGTTTTGTGTGTCCGAATGAACCAGTAGATCAGATGGTAGTGAAAAAACGTATACGAAAAGGAAGCGAGATAAAAACATCACAGTTGTTTTATCTCATGCATCGACGATGAGGTGGTTGTTGGAAGGGGAAGTTAAGCGGGATAAAGAAATTCACAACAAAAACGCCGCTGAGGTCGGCACTTCATCATATCAAGAAGTGTGCACAGCCCTTCCGATGCCAACTTTGAAGTAAGTACTATCCTTTTGACCAAGTCATCAGTTAACCTCCCACCTTTAATCCAAACCCCGGTCGCACAAACAACGCACATCGCGAGAGTCAGTGTGTAGAATGTGTTACCAGCACCTGTTTCATGCAACTTACCCTGTTCGGCGAGCCGGGTCTCACTGAGCGCCGCAACATCGATGTTGTACCGCGCCAATTCTATCGCGATCAGTGAAGTGGGTCGCTCGGGGCTTTCACTGGAGTTCCGGTCCAGTAGTGTGCGCACGTTCTAACACCCGGTGCTGAGTGCTTTGCGCGCAGGCATATGATTGCATTGGTGAGCAATCGCACGCGAGGTGGCGGTTGTGCTTCGGAGGTTTGCTTGAGGGACTCCACGCGGAGCGTTTGGTTCAACAGCCTGACCCACATGGCAGTGGGGAGCAGATCCAGCTCGGTACAATGATTGCAGATATGTCGGGATCTGCTTGACGGCCGTCACACGCAGTCTTTTAAGGTATTGGAACGATGTATTTATGTTTTGCGACCGTAGTAAGATACGCACCTGCGACCACGGCCGGACGTAGGTGGGTTTGCACCAATTTGCCCAGGGGCTGTCTGGCTTGAGGCGGACAGTAGCAAACCATTGAACACCAAGAGGTGCCCTCCCGCGGTCTGAGGCAATGCGTGGCGCTCGTGCTCTACGGCAATCGAGCTATGAGCTTATAACCAGTAGACCCGTTGTCTCCCATGGCTACGTTTTAGGGGAAGAGAGCAAATGACCACTTGCTAACCTCCGAAGAGGATGGACTAAGATACTGGCAGGGCGCCCACACCTGACAATAGATCGACTCGGGTCCTCAACCAAAGCCTTCGATTAAATATACACCCGAAAGAGAGCGGGTCTAGCACATGGTCAGTGCACTGGCTCATGTGGATTGGTGTCCTGGATCTTAGCAGGGTGAAGAGCGTAATACTACTCCCACCCAGCGGTCGCCACGAGGAGTCGTCCAGGACATGAGACCATAGCACAACAGTAGCAGCAGTGGGTAGATCATCTGTCAGGATTTAGCAACCATCAGCCTCAGCCATCATAGGCTGTCCCGTCACTCTTGTGATTACATACATACAAGAGGTGAACGTTGTCAAACGCGTCTCAAACCTTTGCTATAACATTGGTTGTCTCATCTTCTCTTCCACAGGTGCTGATGTAGCTGCCCATATTTTCTGAAGGACTTGTGAGATACCCACCAAGGGTCAGTGCAGAGCGTGGTACTTATGAACCTTGGAGTAAAGCTTTGCACTTTGCTGGTGGAAAGCATAGACTGAAATGGTTGACAGCTAGTGCTAATCCGATCAGAGATGTTTGGCACGTTTGTATTCTATCACTGATTAGGGCGATGCCTTCAGCATACTTCAGCTTAAGCAGTTGATCACCTGGGAACACCGCCGCACCTAAGTCGTATCAAGTGAGCAAAGTTAAAAAGGAATCGCTACAGCAGGCATCCTTATCTTTCATCGCTTGAGATATTGAAGAGCGGCGACAGTTTGCCTTGTGCCCTTACTCTGCCCATAGTAAAGTGCTCCGATTATGTTTACTTTGTTCGAAGGCACACTTTTTCTAGTCAGACTCTTCTAGAAGGTACATCGGCCCATCGAATCGAAGGCACCTTTGGTGCCGAGGGACACGACAACGATTGGTCAAAAGTAAATATGCCAGTGTTGTATTGACTGATGCGAACTTGGGATAGAGGCTAATCAGTCCCAATTTCATTAAAATCCGGCATGTTTTTCATGAATTTGAATTTTACGTGCGCCAACCGATCTACGGGGGAAGAGAAAGGTAAGTAACTTAGAGGCGGTAGAGATCAGGATGATTGCTGATTGCTGAATTCCAAAAGTAAGCCCCCTTTGAAGTCCGAGACCGTAAAGGAACAGTTCCAGTCGGTTGAGACAGTTTCCTGTTTCCACTTTTCACTCATAAGTTTTGTAGGTACCCCGAATTTTAAGAGGGATGGACGTAGTCCATCCTGTCTCTTTGCCCTATTTAACTTCAACAGCCCGATCTCATGCCGGACCTCCATGCGACAGGGCGGCTCATAAAGCACAGCGAATCTGATAATTTTGATCGACAATATTCCTTTTAAAGTGCTCTGTCCACTGCTTGAAGCTTTTCGACAGGTTATGGATAGACTTTCCACTCTCATCGCATATACTCTCGCTACTACCAGACCTGCTACCCATTTCCCATATCAAACAGAATGACTTACGATGGTTACTAAAGACAGCGATAAGATTGCTAAGCTTCGCGGTCTCGCATAATGCTAGTACGCAGTTTTACACGGAGATCTTTGCGATTCATTTTGTGTCCGCTTCCATTCGGGTTGTGTCGGCGAGCATCGAGAAGTTCCAGACTGTGTAGAGAACGCATACTCAAGCTGGCAATCAGATTAACCACTTGTACGCACATCTGCTGCTAATAAGGTCTGGCGAACATGCGACTGATTATCTTCAACTGTGTTCAGTAGATGACGAGACGGAACCTTAACGTGGTGCGTTGGTTTCCGTACTTTTGTGACCTATTAAGCTAGGCTTGGTAGCACTTTCCAAGTACATTTAAGGCTACTCATATCACACAGATGGATGGTTAGGGGCCAAATTAACTCATTCTCGCAATCCAGTCCTCTTCAGATGTTTGAGAAAGATCGATGTCCCACCTCCTTTAGCACCTACCCATGGGAGACAACAAATATACGGGTTATAAGCTCACAGCTTGATTGGCTTAGAGCACGAACACCACGCATTGCCACTGACGGTGGGAGGGCACATTCCAGTGCTCAATTGGTTTACTATCGCGCGCCTCAAGCCAGGTAGTCAACCTGGTGCAAACGTGCCATCTTCCACCTACGGCTGGTCGAGAAACACTTGAATCGCTCTAAATCTCCAGTTGTCGCGAATGACAGGCCTTGTGAATCAGACTATTGAGTCAAAGGCTCCGGGTGGAATCCACCCATTAAGCAAACCTCCATGTCCCGCGTTGCTTTGTAGATCGGACTGCTGAGTCAAAGCCTGTACGGAGGGCACTCACAAATTATCATATGGCCTCTCCACCTCTGTAGATAATACTCCTCTTCTCTCTCGTCTCAACTCTTTTTCCCGTCTATTAAGCAAGAGACTGCGGCTTACCTCGCAGCTAGTGTTGTCGATGCACACAGATCGTCCTTCAAACCAAGAGTCTCATTACACATCAGTCAGCTAGGCCAACAGGTAGCACTAACTTTCACTCGCTTGAGGTTGATGGGTACTGTATGTCCGAATCACATACAGGATAAAAGTGTTGTGGCTAGTCCTCGACTCTCTAGTTCTAAATCAGCAGACAATGACTACTGTTTTCGCGTCTCTTGCGATACTGAGATAATAGCTCAATACTTATGGTGTTGCTATCGTGCTCACCAAACATGCTGGATACCAGTGAACAGTCGCATATGTGCGGTTCGACTTCAGACCTCTAGTGGGGTTCATAAGCATCATCTGAAGACAAGGTGCCTTTTTATCACCTCCATTATGTCCATACTGATTGCAGTTTAGGGATTATCAGAGACGTTTTCTATTGTCAGTTCTCATCCCTTATCAATGTGGCTAAAAATATTGACATCGTGATTGTCGCTGATGACTTGAGTACCCCTTGTGCGAAAATTACCGAGGCATTGGCCTTATCTTCATTACTTTCAGACTTCTCACGAGGACCATTCTTCGATAACTTACTAATCCTCGTGAGAGCCGTTTTATTGAAAGCCATTCTGACTTTCATCCGGGTTGTGGTTACATCGACCACATGTTTACTCTGTGTCGAGCGTTGGAGCAGGCACACTTGCAGACGACCGACTATGGTTTTTCTTGACCCGAAAGCCGCCTTCCACTTTGATCGTCCCAGGTTGCCTATCCGTGAATGGAGTACCTGGAATGCTTCTTTCCATTCTGAAATCTCTACATTGATTCTCAAATCCGGAAAGCTGTCTTCTAACTGTCCAAGGGTTGTCCTGAATCTCTTTTTTTCTTAAACTTTGTGATCGAAATGATCACAAATAACTCCCTTCAAGCTCTTCTAAAGTATACCCCCTACCAGGTGACCGGCTGACAAACCTAGAGTTTGCGGCGACATTGGTGTCGTTCGGTCCCACGCAATGACTACACAATCTATATTGAACAGACTGATGTGTAGCGCTACACACTTCGGTGCGTGCATTGCACCCTCACAGTGCAAGCTTTTGCTACAGCACTCAACGATACGCCACGGGTTTTATCTATCAGCGAACATAGTGGATCGGTTCCCTTATCTTAGTGCGTGTTCGACCTCTGGTGGTCACGTCACTTGTCAGATTACTTCACGTATCAGAAAAGCCGTGTATTTTCTTCGGAATCTTAACGACCTGTAGAGACGGTGAGATATCACCTTTCCAGTGAAGTGTATAATGCCGGTTTTACTATATGGATCAGATTTGGCTAGCTCATAGTGAAAACATCAAATGCTTGGATGTGTTTGACTACTGGTGCTTGCGGAGTATTGTCCACATCTGGTGGGAACACCGGGTGATCGTTGCTGTGGTCCGGCAGTTGGTTTTCGGCGAGAAACCTTCTGGTGTCTCACTTATGTGTTTGCTAAAGTGTAACCTCTTAAGATGGCTAAGTCATGTCCTCTGTATGCCCGCAGACCAATTTCCTTGACGTGTATTATACGCCGTGACTGCACGAAATTGAGCGAAACCGGGAGGTAATCAGTCGATGACGTGACATAAAAGCATGATGAAATTGATTTATGGACTGGATCAGGTCGATGGTGGTTTCGGGACGGTCTACGTCAGTGGCTGGAAACTCTAACAGACGTGGTACAGTCATTGGCGCTCCTGCACTCGGCTGTCAATATTGCGTACCGACTAGTTGGACGCACACTTCTCCATTCCATTTTCGCCGTATTCTGTTTGCTTTCTAGCTCATTTGTTGTTCCTCGTTAATCTGGCGGCGTGGGTCGTATCAACTGGATCCACCGTGTTTCGACGCCTGGGTCATAGCTTTTTAACTGTCAACGTCTCTTCGATAAGATCTGAGTCCACACGCATTTCTACGATTCATACGTTTTCGTTCAGTTTTATCGCAGACTAAGTCATGTGGCTTCCTCTTGTGAATTCTCATATTACATTTGTATTGCGACAGTTGCGAATTAGCACAGTTAGTCCGTGGCGAATTGTCCAAAATAGTTCTATCATGCGGCATTCACTTTGGAATGAGAAGGTGCTTTTGCAAGAGCACCAGTGTCCTGCTAGCCACACATCCTTTGACGGAGGAACTAGACGGCTGATAATTCACCTATATTTCAGTAGAAGTAGAAGTGTCCGCCTTGTGAGTGTTAAGATCAGTCTACGGATATCGAAGGTTGTTATTGGCCTCAGGAATCTAGACCTGACCACCATAACTTGCACCTCCATGAGAATTAAATCTAAAAACATTGAAAGAAGAAGATATGGACCAATTGCTATCAGTAACACTGATTAAACGAATTAACAAGCGAAAGATGAGATATTCGGAAAGAGGATTTATCAGTACTATGTAACAGACCGAGCGCAACCGACTGTATGATGTCGGACAAGGTATCTCACTCCTGTGTAGTCAAATTCTTAAACGGCATAAAGTGCAAGTCAAACTGGGCGCATTAGAAAACACTCGTTTTGTGTGCTTTACTTATGTAGAGAGTTGCATCACGGTTAGTGGCGGTGTTGGACATGAAGTCTCACAACGGATTGCAAAGGACCGCCTTGCATTCATCAAACTGATACACCTATGGCGTCGTCGTGATGTCAATCTCAAGCTCAAGGGCAGGGTGTACAATGCTTCCATCTGTGCAGTATTCTTGTACTGCTGTGAGACTTGGCCTATTCGCTCGGAAGACATGAAGCGGCTGTCAGTCTTCGACCGTCGCTGTCTACGAAGGACTGCTCGGGTGTGGTGCCAACACCACGTAAGCAACGCAGAGGTCCGAGACCGAGTGCTTGGAACGAGTAGTGCCAGTCTTCAGAACATTATTCTCCGACATCGCTTGCGTTGGCTCGAACACCTTTTGCACAGCCCATCGCCTTCCACGTCAAGCGCTACTTGCACTCCCAGGGAGTGATTGGAAAAAGTGCCGTGGTGGACAGCCAATGACGTGGAGAAGGATCATGAAGAAGGCAACCTTAAGTTTGGCGGCAATGGGACCAGTCCGTCTTCCAGGTTGGTAACCACGAGATGCTGAATCTCAGTGGTTGGAAACATTGATGTCATGGCCCGCAACAGACATCAGTGGCGTCAATGTTGTTCTACCACTTTATCTCCCTTTAATGCACACAAAAATCTCACGAAACCAAAATATCAAAATGGCGTGTTTAAAACCAAAATATCGTTTCCGTTTTTATCGCATTTCGTGTTTATGTTTTCTCTATTTTTTCTTCTACCATGGTTCTGATGGCACAGTGTCTGTTAACAGACATAATATATAACTCGTTTTGTGACAACCTCGGTATTCTGAGCGACGAAAACTCCACTACCGAGAAAAGGAACGGGGAAATCTCACTCGAACCCATGCGCTGTCTCTGTAGGTACGTTTACCGCCTGTTTCGACTAATCCTTACAGCACACCAAATTATATCGATTGTGGAGTTGAAGCACTCCACTGGCCTCTGTTTGAAATGGCCGTTATATATTTGGTCTCCATGCAGTGAAGCCAGATGTTCTATAGAAGCACTATCTGGACTACTCGGGTCGATGTTTCGGCATGGATCCAGATCAACATGATAAGATCGTCCATAAACACCAGCTCCAGGTGATGTAACACATGGCTCTTGTCGTCGGCATTGTTCTGCTTGGTTTTTGAACTGCACAGTTCATGCCACGAATCGTAGGTAGTTTGCATTCTACCATTCAGCATAATTATTGTTGAGTTTATGCAAATAGAAATTGGATGTTGCTCGCCCGGAAACACTGAGTTTGTTGTCAGCGTTCGCAGTACGAAAAGAACCCACCTTCAAACCAAAATTATAGAACAGACAATAATCCATCTAGCCAATCGGTAGGCTTTTTGTCGGAGTTGTTTATTACGGTGAGCCAATGGAGAGATATAATCTATAAACTTTCATGTACTGACATACGTGTGACCGAAATTTCCCGATAATTTTTCCAGCTATGACGGCACCACGCGTCGTGCAACCGTACAGTACTACGATCGATGAGACCAGTGATACAACCGAGCACGGGACAACATACAAAACATGACTTTCGACGAACTAAGTGTTACTTGTATCATTGTCGCTGGGTTTTTTTTGGTGAACTGGAGCATCTTTGCATTTTCACTAATGTCTTGTTCTCCTTCGAAATTTTACAATTTTCCCCATAATAAATGGGCGCAAGCATTTAAACAAACACATCACATGTATTTCACATGAATTGTACATGTTAGTGGGTATCAGAGACCCAACGGGTCAAAAACAATGGCTTGTGGCCGTATTAGAACAACCGTTTCAGGATTGTTCACATTGGTGGCACTTCAGATCACACCACTGTCCGAGCCACAGCTATCATGTGCTTCCTTCGATCAGCTTTATTCGAGGGAGGCCGGCGTTTAGGTGGTGCAACAGTGTGCACGCTTGACATGTTGCTTGGCTGGATACGCACCCACAGTTCTCGCACACACCTGAGAATTTGAAAAGAGCACATAAGCACAAAAGAATGGAACTCGGAAATACTCTGTCGCACTTTTCGCCAATATTGTGTTATCTTTTAGTACTTCTGTCCTAATCGCTTCAGATTTTTGGATAACATGATGTCGAATCCTAAAATCCGCTTGACACCATAGATTCTAGATTTCTATAAGAATGCCGCAAAAAGTAGTCGGCGCCATCAATGAACCAGTTCCCTATGGGAACCCTTTCGACCAAGGTCACTGAGATACATGATGGACACCATCGTATTATGTAAGTTGTTGTCAAGTGGCCTGCTTTCCAGTCCAGCACCTCAAGTAATTTCTAAGGACATGCTACCAGTATTCGCCACATTTTTGCTTCTAGCGAAATAAAAACACTGTGATCGAGACGATCATTATAAGCATTGAGCACCGAAACTGATTGTGAATGATGAGATATCATTTTAATTCGCCTTGTTGAAGCTACCTTGACTGGTGTGTTCACATTGTACCATCTTAGAGGTCACTATTCCATGGCACGACTTCCCGATTCATATTCCAGGGAACGTTTGAAAACCGGATTTGCCACCCTACGTGGAAGGGAAGAAGTGGGATAGTCGTGTTGTGGGTGACAGTACCGGATATGAAGGGGATTACAGCGCAGCCGGATATGAAAGGCGAAAGTCAGCTGAGAGTGCTACTGTGGCGCCTACGTTGCTGATTAGGCTAACGCAGTGCTACACGTCTCGCTATCCGTTGCGCATATCCCAAGTTCAATGTTGAATTGGATCGATGCGCCACAAACGTTCACTAATAATAAGAGAACAACCGGTTGACCAACCGTACACACCAATAAGTCTCGTGGGGTATTACCTCATCGACCAGGATCATGGATACAGCGCTGGCAGTGTAGCCACTTTACTGTGTGGATCGAAGCCATAGTCACTGAGCGTAGAGACTACGTGACCGGTCGACTGCCCAACAATGCCCCGCTGGACACAAATGCTAAAGGCACTGAAATGATTATTGCCACAACATACTAGTTCCTGTGTAGAAACAGGCACTGTCGTGTTGCAATGGACGATACTAAGCAAGGACACTTGGTAGATGGAGTTCTCCGCGTGCCTGCTGGTCATTTACTCAGGAATGTGTGTTTTGATATTACTGCCTCAAGCTGGATGAACACCAGATCGGTGGTATGGTAGAAGAGTGACTAAAGCTAAAGGTGCGGAGGGAAATGTTGAATCGGATTGTTGCCCTTCGTCCTCCTGAATGAGAGCTTTATGCTCGATCGCACTACCGATTGAAAATCCAATCTTATCTCTTAATTCACCCGGTGGTTCTGGCGTTTCTTCAAGTCGGCCGCTCACTTCACTTTCTCGCAGCCATGTGAACCGATGCAACTTGCTCCTTCAATTATGGCTGTTTAACTGGATGGAGCCGAGCCGGTGATTGCTAAATGAACCCTTTTAATTTCGATGAAGGTTGTTACTTCTCCTCGTGCTGTCGCTCAAAAATCGGTCAATCTGCGCACCGTTAGGACATTATTTATATACGAAAGCCTTTCACACAAATTTCGTAATAACCGTAATATTATTAGCATTAAAAAACAGCGACCAGTTTGGACCATCGTCTAGCGATCATTCTGCTTTAGGAGTATCGACAATGCTTCTCGGATACTAGCCCCTTCCATTACTGTCATGATAACAATTTGATGAATCACATGAAACTGCGGACCACATTTTGTGGGTCATTTGAACCTATTTTCTTTTGAAGGACAAAGTCTCAACTATTGACGAGTCGTGAGTACAGCCAGTTCATTTATTTAGTCAGATATGTGAGGTGTGCACATCACGATATGAGTTCCAACTTGGATGTGTGAGAATTTATATATAAAAACTAACATATGTAGTGTGGAACAGTGTGGACCTAATATGCTTTTTGGTAGTTGTTCGCGGTAAACTTCACGCATTTCTTAGCGCAAACATCAACGCATATGCAGAACGATCCAAGAATAGCTGAGACTAAACTCGAGTACGTAGTCTAAATATGAGACGCCCGTCAGTGTGGAAGAGGATGTGATCAGAATGGGCTCTCTTAAGTGTAAGGAAATGGGCTGTGCAGTCAATATTGCAGACGAATGGACAGCACTGGTTCCTAGTGACAGGGTCTCCTTGTCAAGTTTTTTGTCATCTAATTGTATCAAACAACTGGGGCGATTACCATTTGTGAGCGGAGTTGGTTAAAGTAGTTTGGGGAATTTCGTTGCAACCAAGTCAGACAGGAGGGTCGTTCCGTCCTATCGAGACTTAGATCGTATGCGTACCGGATTCATCGGGATTCAAGCTTCACTTGCTTTCCTCCGAGTTAGTCACCTCAACGCGCGTCTTCAATGCAGCTCAGTTCCCGAGTGCCGTGGATCTAGGTGCCACGAGGAGGGAGGTCAACAAGAACGAAACAATGGGTGAGGCACAGCGAGACGGGCACAACGGTAGCCAACAACAGATTTACATCAGCAAATTACACTGATGCTTCGCTGCTGCACAACCGCAGTGGACTAAGGAGTGAAAAATAATGACGGAGAGAAAAGGGACCTATCACTAAACCTTAAAGCCCTAAATAAAAATTCAGTCAAGGCGCCTACGCTTCGTCAATAACATGCCATCACAAACAGCTGGTTATCGTGCAAAGCGTCGGCGAGACAGCTTCCTTGCGGCTTCAGACCCCCGGACCGAATGGGTCACTTCTCCTCTCATGGCATAAAACGGCTTTCACTGTGAACTTGTAAACACGGCGTTTTAGGCGGAGGGAAACCCCTATCTGACGCCACATATGCAGCAGTTTTAAGAAGGCAGTTCTAGCTTTTACAATGCGGGAACTGACTTCAGTTGCTATGCGCTCATCGTTGCTGATGCAGCTGCAAAGGTAAGTGACTTGATTTCCTTGCTATCGACGGTCAAGTGGTCATTAAGTGGCTAGTGATCCTGCAACAACGCTTTGCACTTTGTAGGTACGAGGTGATGGGACCATCCTTGAGGCCATTTGATACGCTGTGCCAAGCGCTTGTTACGTGCGTGCATACGTGTGTATGTGCTCTGGCTATTGGTTGTCTGCCATAACCATTGATTGGTGATTTGATACAGCGCCCATGTGATCCCATTTTGGTGTACAGTTCTTGCCGTTTGCGTGAGTAACCGTCTTACTACACAGTTCTGATTTCGTCTCTGCGTAAAAAATTGGCGACGGAGGTTGTTGAGATCACTAACGGCAAATTCAATTACCCCACCCTAGCTATTTTGGAATTCCTCTACGGAAAGGCCTGCTACGCCACATAGCTGCAGCGGGAAACTACCCACTAATTACGTGGGTCTACTTGTTCTCTTTAGTGGTAATGGTACGATGGATGATGTGTCACAAATCACCTAGGCAGCGACAATTCAATAGCCTGCAATCACACACAAAACAAAACTAGCAAGCTGTTTTCCACCATTCAGGGTTGATTAAGTCGCCACAACATCATTAAACAGCAAGACAATATCGTCCGCATAGTCAAGAACAACTAGCTTCACACAATGCAGATCTCAACGCCTGCAGCGTGAGGTTCCACAGGGTAACACGCCATTGTGGAGTCCACGACGTAGTTGGAAAAAATTGAGAAATTGGACAACCCAGACGGAAGATAATTCTTGTTGGGAAGGTATTTGTTATGTTACCAAAGACCCTAACGCCGATTGTGGTGTTTGAGTATAGAGCACGTAGTGTTCACATATTTCATGGGAACAGTTTCCCGTGCAAGTGTTTCGAACAAAACGTATCCATCTACTGCGTCGAACGCACACTTGAAATTGAGGAAAAAAACTATTGTCCGTCTGCGGTATGCGTGGCGCTGCTCTAGCACCTGCTGCAGTGGATATATAGTCAGCTGGAAGAGTTTAAGATAGTTCCCTACTGCTCCCGTCTCCTCCATTTCTTGAGTCCAACTGGTCCGACAGGCTTCCTTGTCAGCACGCAGGCTCCGCTCTAGTTCGCGCCTAGTAGTCCGTCTAATCACATTGTGCTCAGAGCTAGCCGGGAGTTTTCTTTTGGATTCCAACAGGTTCACCGACCTCTCGGATATACAGTGACTGGTGCGGTGACAGTTGAAGCAGAAGCAGAGGCTCGCGTGTCGTGCATCGCGGCCGAGATCCTATTCTGTTGAAACTTAGTGTCATTAAGACAAGTGGGTGAAAGTTCGGTCCGCAGTGCATCGTGGTAGGTTTGTAGGACACAGCACTGAGATAAATTCCTAACCAAGATAAGTGAACCGATTCACCACTTCCAGTGGCTGTTCAGTGACAGCTAGAACCGACGGTCTATCGGTCCAGTCCTGCAATAGTGCTTTGCACTTTAAAGGTACATGCCGAAGCTTGCAGCGCTACACATCAGTCCGTGCAGTAGTATTTGCGTAGCCTTTGCGTCAGGCACAAGAAGAAACATATCGTCTGCATACTCCAGGTTTGTCAATCGGTCGCCTTGCAATACTTTCGGACCGATTCGCTAATGATCATTTCGAGTACAAACTTGTAGAGGAAAGGACAACCATGTAGAACCTAATTGTCTTGGGAAATTCGGCAGACAGGTTCCGTAGGCCTTTCACGGCCTCGGGAGTTACGGTAGAGTCCGCGTAATGGAAAGGAATTTAGCTATCACGCTCTTCATGTATAAGCAGTGAACATAGTCAGTCGTCTGTATGTGTATCTGCTCTAAACATGGCGAAGAGTAAATATGTGGTCCATACAACCATGACCAGGGCGGAAGGTAGTCTGGCTTTCAGTGAATCGGTTCTCACGGGGACCAGTAATTCGTCGGAGAATGATACCCGTGAGGAGTTTGAATGCAAGAAAAACAAGGCTAATGCCTCGAAAATTTTCGCACAAAGCACGCTCACCCTACTCGAAGATGGGTACGACATTTGACAGTCGCCAGTCTGAAGGTACCTCTTCACTGTTCCAAATCGTGTTAAATAGAGTAGCGATTCCAGTCAATAAAGGGTCACCACTATCTTTCAGCGAAAATGGAGAAAGTCCGTCGGGTCCGGGAGCCTTATTTTAATTTAACATGGAAAGCTCATGTCGAGTTTCTTCCAAAGTACGCGGTGTGAAATCTACTTCTTACGTCAGCTCAGGCGATTTGGCAAGCGGCGGTGTCGTAGGAGGCCTACTGAACTCCTTCAAAATGTTCCGCCCAGTGGGCGATTGGCTCGCTAACGGATGGCCCCAGATTACAGATGAGCTTGAATAGCACTCGGCTGTTCCCAATAGCACTGGCTTTCTGCATTTCACGGGCCTTTGCCATCCACCAACGTTCCCGCTCGATTGGAAGAGTCCATGCGATGCGTTGTTTACGAGTTACGGAGGAATCCAATTAACCAATGATGACTCGGCCATGGAGCTGAGAACGATGACCATCCCATCTTGACCAGTTGTTGCCGCATCAGCGTCTCCGGATGCGTGCAACCAATTGCGGGAGGACAAGCTGGGTGCAGCTAGTGAGAGTAGTTGATCCTAGTTTCGGACATGCAACGCACGCTTATACCCAGGGTGTCCAAAATGCGTGTGATTGTGGCTTACAGACCTATTTGTCAAAAAGTGCGAACGTTATACGCCGCCAACGAAACGAGACAGCGTGGCCATATGAGAGACTGTTGCCGATAGTCGCACTGCGAGAAGATAGTTGCATGTGGTAGATATACAGTGGCATTGCGTCTGGTGTCAGTTAAGCTGGGAATTATAAGATGATTTGTAGTTGGGGTCGGGACGAGAGTAAGAGAAACAAGTGGAAAAGAAAGCGGGCGCCAACAGGAGCGTGTTTTCGCCCATGCGCCCTGCTGTATGCAGCGGATAAGGTGCGCGACATATGTGGTTGAACTTGAAGGGAGTAGTCATAGTTGTACGTGGGCTGAGATACTGCCAGAGTGCCTGGATCTAGACAGACAGACGATTATGGTCCTCATCCAAAACTTTAGGCTCAGAAGCCAGTTGGCAAGGCAGCGGGGAGGTGGCAATGATTTTACGGACATAGACGCCATCCCATTTCGAATCCCCGATCTGGAGAACCAGGAGACTGAGTTTGTCTGACCTCTAACCATTGACAAACCTGGTAGGAGTAGCTCAAGAGGGGCTCTGGAGCGCCACCCAGTTTGGAGCTCAATTGGTCGAAGAGGTACGCAAACCGTCGCACCACTCGAAAGTCCAACGGAGGCGACAGTGGTGAGATGCGAACCCACACCGTTTCGGACTGGTTGTAGATTCTAATAGCCGAATGTAAAGGCGCCACTAGTCTCACAACTACACCGTGCTAATCACCAGGCTCCCTAGCAGGAAAGTGACAAGTGCTAAACCAGTTGATGTTTTCGTGCGTTCTCACCCTATCGTCAGCTGGCTACCATGTGGCTTCATCCAACCCAGCGCATTAACTAAAGATGGTACACACCGGGGTGGGTGGTCCACAGGCACTTGAAGGGAGTAACATATCTAACATAGGTGGCAACGCTATGCTATGTAGTTTAATGGACTGCAAAAATTGTTGCTTGTTGATCCGGATGTTCCCAACAGATAATACAGGCGTTATGTAAGCGCTAATGATCATGGAACATGTACTAAACCAATTGACTATACGATTTTCTCTCCCATCTCTCTTCAAATCGAACTGAACTCACCACTCACGAGCGTCTTCACATCGCTTCGGACGGTTAGCTGCTCGCCACTGCTGATAATATCTGAAGTGTGTTAGATATAAAACGTTTTTACCTAGGATACAACGCGGTCTGAAGCGTTCAAGATCTTTAATAAATGTGCGCGCATATCCTCTGTTAAGGTACGACCATGAAATACTATAATCGTACTTACCTGTAGGCATTCGGAGCATATTTACACTCCGTAGAAAAATAGTCCAAATTATGCAGATGTGCATACCTAAGCGTGTGTAATGAGCACTCTTGTGTAGAACAACAAACATGACTATCTCCTTCTCGTATGCATACTTAAATGGCTTGATTCTGGGGATAACGCCTTCTGATCTCTATGGAATGTTAAAGTTTTGGGAGACCTACCGCAATAATGGAAGTGCAACGCTTCAACCGTCCAACGTCACCACGGAACACTTGCGGATGTGAATCATTTGTTACAAAACGGGGTACCATTCATTAGAATTGTTTCTGCCATATCATCCGCGTTGTGTCCAGTGCATATTTTGCTCGCGCCTACCATATAAGCACCTTTATCCAAAGCCTGCCGGCGAAATACTCCACAAAATGTACCTGAGACGGAAATGAAACCATCCGTTGTGTGGTACTTACAATTTCGCTTTGTGCCAATGCTTCGCACGATGGAATCCATAGACCAACCAAACAAATCCTGTCAGGAAAAAACAGATAAGTAAGCGTCTGGTCAAACTCACCTGGTAGGATAGTATCGTGAGAGGTAGCCCACATTGTATCTGGTTACGCTGTACGGCCTGAAAATTGCTGATGAAAATGAAAAGCGCGCACTTTCAGGGATTCGTCCCGATATCCACTAATGCCTTCATCGATGGAAACCAACACAAGTTCAACACCATAGTCGTAGCGGTCATTCAGGGATTTCAGGACGTGTATTAACACTGTGGAATCTCGAGGAACAACAAATCGGCTGGCTGTTTAAATGAGTACCTTTGCCCCCAGATGCACCAATAGCGACTCTGTCACCTCTTTCCAAAAGGCCAGCAGTTATTATAACCCAGTGTACTTCTTCTTCAAAACACCATGAGAAGCAATTCTTGCACAAGACATCGCCCTGAAGTGCTGAGCGGAACAAGTAAGACGTACTGATTTTGGTCTCTTGATGTATCCTTTAGAGCCGCAGCGACCACAGGACAACGGTGACATCGCTCAATTAAATATATCTGCAATCGACATATCGGATGTTGAACATGCATGGTCTGTGATGAGATCGGAATGAAAATGTACCTATTATGGTCGATTGAACCAACTAACCAAGAACCATCGAACCTCCAGCGTTCGTTGCATAACAAAATAAGGTGGAAAATCCAGAAGCATCTATGTCCGTTAGACGCACAAATTTAATCGATTATCGAGTATACTAAGGTCTGAGGTCTTTATGATGTCGACTGACAAGTTTGTCGCAGCGTAGAAATAGTAGCACCATTAGAGAGAATAGAAAGTTCATTGCATTAGTGATCATCTAAGGGTTAGTTGTGACGATCACAGAGTGTAATAGAAATCCACCTCGCATATGCCAAGCGTTCACAGCGGAAAACTACCTTTTCATCATTGTCGCGTCCCTTGGAATACCTTTTAATAGGCATAAAATGTTTGGTGATACAATCTACTTAACCAATCTTGACCCAGGAACCCCGAACTCCGTGACGAGAGTAGTCTGCTCCGAGTTCATGCACCTACGTAGATCCCAGCTCGAGTGATTACGGAGTTTCATTTTATAGTTAGCGTTAACTACGAATCAGAATAGTCTGACAAGAAAAACAGTGTGGGCTGTGGTTTGTTGTCCAGAAGCAAAAAGTCACAGGTTGAATAGCGATCGCAGAAATCTTTGGTAGGTAAAAAAAATCCGAAAAATTGGGCTAATCAGAGTCCGATTGACGGTGTGCAGTTTACGCATGTACCCCAACTCCCCGTCGTCGTCACGTAAACCGGACACAGTGCTTATTTCATCAACGATAGTCTTGGCTGTTGGCCACGACAACGAGATCGAAGATAAAACGGCGGAATTTCCCCCCGCTTGGTTGGGGTTACAATACCCATCCAACCTGAGTGGCGTCATGGTCATTAGATCACTGAGCTCCGTGAGCAACACCTGGCCCGATTGTGTTGTATACATAGTGAATGTACCGCTGAACAACATGCAGAACTCATTGGTGTGAGTTGGCGGTCACTTTGTCCTGGGTACAAGCTAAACTAGTGTTAGAAATGTTGGTATGCCTCGATAACGTAGGGCTTTTTAGGAGCAGGCACTTTTTCGATTCATCGGTCAGTTTACGTGCGTTATAGCTTCTTTAAAGCAGACTGTCGAATAGTCACCGCCGTTGTACTTGCACTGTTCGCGCCTGCTTTGTTTCACCATTGACATGATTGTTGACTACATGCTCCGAAGTGTGCTCGCATTCGCCTGTTTAAATCCTAATTTCCCAGGTGATAACTGAAGGAAATCGGTCGTAAAGATGAGTCGTGCTTATATCGCTTCTAAATCGCACTAGACGTGGCTGGGTCGAAGAGTTGCTGGCATCTTCTCAGTAACTCCCCTAGCTCGCACGGCCAGCTTATTCATCGTATTGTTGATGTACTGTAGGTGCTATCTGTTACCATGGATACTTGCACTTGTGCATTTCAGCGCTCAAATCGTAGCTAATAAGCGAACTCAGTTGAAAAGATTGCACTACATCGTCGTGAGAACAACTACCATTCAGAAAATAGGAAAATGAATTTACAGCCGTTTACTCGAAACCTGAGTGCTCTCAAAACAGTCCCGGGTGCACCTGCTCCCGTTCCTTCAGACACGTGGTACTGAACCAGTGGTACTACACGCACCAACGTCATCGATAACCCTGCATACTGAAGATGGGGTCTGAGTCACGGAGCCCCAGTGATATCTAAGGATCATCAAGGCCAGATGCAATTGATGTGACTGCTAAAGCACATATCCACGGTGCATCGACAAACGCGACTACCCACCCTCGCTACGTGTGTGTTTGGAAGATGTTGCATAAAGCTCTTGGTTTCAGTTTCTTTGTTTGGTCGTAGCCAGTTTGTTGGCGATCGCGGCCGAGGTCTAACCACGGTCTCACCGGGCCTTGACAACTGCGGACTCTGCAGTGATTTGACGAATATATAACAAAGGAATAGATGCGAATGTGAAACCTTGGTGGTCTCATTCACCAAGAAATACAAGTGATGATGACAGCACTTACGGTACAGAGCAGAAGCTCCTGTGTTGGATAGTAGTGGGATAGTTTCGCTAAGTTTCAATCATACACCATGTCTACTGAGCGCATTTCCACGAATCCTGCGTCAGTCGAGCCAATGGCTCACGTGTTTAAATCAACGTCTTATGCCACCGTGCCGTGATGATGGACGGCCCTGACTGACTAGCAGCTGCGACGTAGCGCGCCCTATCTCCCGCTATCACGCACGTACAGAGGACAGAGTTGGGTCCTCAGAGCTACGACTTTTTTCGCAAGCCACCATCAATCGAGGTGACATGTAGTCTGTTCGAGCAGAGGGGATTCTGATGTGATTTCGCGGAAGATTCGCCGCAACTAGTTCCTAGTCTTCTCTTTTTAGGTCGATTGAATTCAAAATGCGAAGTGTAGACAGCCTGTGTGATTTACATATGTGAAGTGAGTGGAAGGGAAAAGCAGTCGGATAGACAAACGCGGTCCACATGTCGTAAACCGTACGGGCGGTGCAGTCTCTCTGCAAGAACGCATCAGTTATTTGAATATGAAAAGAACACATATCGGTATGGGCATCTATATTTGTATGGGTATTTACAAAAAATAGTGATAAGCGCATTCTGGGTCATAGCTAAAGATATGGCGAATCATCCAGAGATATAAAGTCGTCGAAATATAGACAAGCCAATTTTTACAATGTGTACAGTCAATCAAGAAAGTGAAGGGAATCAAAATAGGGGGTCAAATCAGATGATGACATCGCATCGAAATTGCCAAGAAATGAACGCAGGTAGTCGGTAGAAACGACTAGCGCAGAGAACAGTCAGCATGTGAACACTTTCAATCTAGGTAAGCGTTCATAGAACAAGATGTATGCAGCGCTGCTCTGAAAATAAAGAAACAGATTGAAGAATTTCTAGACTTCCGGAGTCAATGCCAATAGCCTGAAAAAGGGACTTACCACCAACGCACTTTCAGGGATCGAAGTGACTGTGCTGTCGTTGTATTCGTACCACTGATCATCGGACACGCCACGACAGAATGCAGTATCTTGGCGGGAAAAAAGTAATTAGACATGCTTTGGTTGTAAGAGCACAACACCAATAAGGGAGACATGGATCGGTGGATTCATCTGCAAAGTCCCAATGCCAAAGGATTCTGTAGCTTGAATAGATGCATCGTATAACTGCGCGTTGGTCGCCTAATCATATGTTTATGTGCACTGACTTTAGGTGGAAACGCCGCCAAGGTGACCAACTTCAAAGATAACTGTGGGAAGGAATTAATCCAAAAAGCCACTGCTGATGGAGATGGTACCAGACTCTCACTCTTCACCCGCTCACATGTAAGGTGCTACCCGACCTAGCCTAACTGAGATACTCAAGTCATCGCATCGCGTAAAGGCCTAACCTGGTCGGTAGAGGATAGCATCAGTTGAATCGAGAATGACGCGATGAAAGCTGGATATCACAGTCAGTACCGATTAAAAGGAGCCGAGTTCCGCCATCTAAATTGGACCAAAAATCGTCGTACAAGTAAACCTAATGAGACACTCTCATTCAGCTGATAACTGCAGAACTACCAGCTACTATGTAGGATATCAAGAGGCGTTTATGAGACATAAGGTGAATGACAAAGTTAAATACAAGTCCTAACAATATCCCTTACATAACTGGATCCAGCGCTTGTTGAATCGCTCAGGATCCATCACATGGGCACAGGTTTCGCCTTGCGCTGCTGCTCTAACAATCATCCCACGCACAACTACGCCACTTGGGATTCCATCGGTAAGCATTTGTACAGAATGCGAGATGCAACCATCCGGTGCGAAACGACTCGCAGCGTAATTTGTCGCTTTGAATCTGACAAGCCCATCTGACACAAAATCTCCTAGGAAGAAATACAAGCTAAGGAGTAGGAGACCAGGTAGTGCATACCTATCAGAGACGGATCGCATTTCGGTCTACGCTTCAGTTTAACTTTGTTCAGGGATGCCGATGGCGTCCCAGGGCGTTCCTCTCGATATTACACTTTCGTGCTGAGTAATGGTGACCAGAATTGGATCACTTCAGTGTACCATAGCATGCGGTTAGGAATCCGACTCCACGGGAAGATATATTCAACGCTCGGTAGTATGTTAGCGTTTGACGGCTCAATGAGTCATTACACCGTGTTCTTGGAGCACGGTAAAGCTTACGGAATAGCTTACCGTCTTTTGTTGGATAAAAATTACTACTAGTTTGTGCTAACCGCCAGCACCCTGTCATAAGTGAGTGGACAAACGCAATCCAGCATCGGAAAACAAACTGTGTTTGCACACACAGTATAAAGCACGCAACCGGTAGATGTCTAAAACTATATACTTAACGAGGGCTTTTGGCTCCACACAGGGCTCAATGTCGCTGCTGTCGGAGAGTCGCTCGATGAAAACATGCGAAGGGGACAACTAAGTGCTTAAATTAAGCAGACGTTTAAGTGGATCTATTAAAGAATAGCCAAATCCGAGCAGTAGTATGACAACCCTTGTTGAACAATACCGAGAAAATTGGCGCACTTCCGTTGTGTGTGGTAGTCTTACCACATGCATTAAAGTATCATCACTAAATAAGGCGAGATAAGAGATATTTGTGACAATGGTGCCGTCGTAGGTCGAGAATTCGGATGACGCCATTTAATCGGACTTTCAAAGGTCAACTGACTATGAACCGATCAAGGTTGCCAGTTTGTCTAACCGGTACTCTACTTAGTTGTGATGAGTCGCACAGCGACAAAACGAGGGCGTGAAAAGTATGCCGGAAGATGGAGGCGCTTGGTTGTCTCCGCATTCACTGTTGTTCTCTAAGGGGAGGGGGGTTAAATGCCAGTTATATCGGCCACCGAACACAGCTATATATATATATATATATATATATATATATATATATATATATATATATATATATATATATATTCAACACTCTGCCAATAACAATACAATTGGCTACGTGCCAAAACACATAAGAAGAAAAAAGGATAGCGTGAAATAGAAAACAACTGTTAGGGTAGTAGAGCCTCACAGCAAGTGCGCCATGTTGTACGGTTGTTGGCCATATCCCACAGCGTTTTCAACCAGATGTGCTCGGGGTCCTTTGGTCCCCAACCCGGGAGTCGGGAACGCCCAACAACAGCCAGCTTCAACGTTTGCACTTTAATGCATTGGATCCAAGTTTTAAATTGCCCTCCTTTTCGTCACTTTCACCCCACGCCTCTTTCCTTTCTAATAGGGCTCGTTGTAGTAGCCGCTGGGTAGGCATGCGGAGCACATACTCAAGACAGCGAAACCTCCGCAGTGAAATGATGCTATCAAGCGGTCAGCGGAGTACGTTAGATCTGAAGACTCGCCGACGGACTTCCTCACTACTGATGTGATGCTGCCATCGAACACCAGCAATACTTCGCAGGCAGCGGTGATCGAAGACAGATAGCCGCTGAACATCGCTTTTGCGAACGGGCCAATTCTCACAGTCGTACAGCAGAGTCGCTGGTACCATAGCATTGTAGACTCGTCCCGTGGCGAGGCCGTGATCACGACGAAGCCACAGGTGACGAAGGTTAGCGAAAGCGACTCTAGCCTTGGAGACACGCAGGGATAACTCATCTGTCGAACCGCCAATACTAAGACAACTCCTAAGATAAATGAATTTGTCGACCACTTCTAGCGGATGCACCGAAAGGGTGAGAATAGGACATGCACTTGACCAGTGCTGTAATAGGACCTTACATTTGGAAGGGGCAAAGGCCAACTCAAATTGGGAGGCGGGCATCTCCAGTCTGAGCAGCACATGCTGGGCGGCTTAGGAGAACTTGCAAATCACAGCGATGTCATCTGCACACTCTGTCCCGAAGGCGGTCACCAGGGAGCAGTTCGACACCGCAGGACTCAGAGTTATCCAGGGCAGTATCCAGGATCTCGTCCATGGCGAAGGTGAACAAGACTGAAGAGGCTGGGTAACCCTGTATAACGCCGCTCGTGATACTGAAAGAGGGCGAAACTTCTCCGTATACTCGCACGCGGCCCCAAGTCTGATGGTAAATGCCACGGAGAATGCTGATGTACTTCTCAGGTACTCCCCCTTTTAGTAAGCAGTCCCAAAGAGCCGCTGTCAACAGAGTCAAACGTGGCTCGAATGTCCACGAATATGACTATGGTTGGTCGACTGAACGTATGGAGATGTTCAAGTATCTGGTGCATCGTAAGGATGTGATCGACGCAACTGCAACTCGGGCAGAATCCAGTATCTGTTGCTGTAGGTCAGCTAGCAATTTGGATGCGACACAAATGAGATTGGTGCCACGATGGTTGGAGCAAATGGTCAGGTTTTTTTGTAAACAGGTACAACCCGATAAATTCCAGTCAGATGGAACGGTTTCTGTAGTCCAAATCTGATGGAATAGTGATGTCAGCTCGAAAGTGAGAACAGGACGTCAATATTTGAAGAGGACAGGAGGAAGTTCATCTGGGCCAGTGGCGCTTTAGTAGGCGAAACTAATTGGAAACCTTATCCTCTGTCGGTGGAGAAACATCCACGCACTAGGGAGCACTGTGAACCCCGGAAGATAGACTCGGTTGCGCTGCTGCCCAGTTGTATTGATCTTCAAAGTGCTTTGCCCATCGGACCAGACGACGGTGACGACTGTGAATTAGTTCACCGTCATTATCACGCAAAACCTCACTCACTGTTGGTCTTCTGCCTCTCATGGAGCGAATAAGTGAGAATAGTTTGCGTGAGTTTCCTGATGAGGCTGCCCGCTCCATCTCAACGATGCGCTGGGTCCATCAAACTTCGCGATCCTTTCTGAGGAGCTATCTGAGCGCAGCACCTGTGGTTCTGCGTAGTGCTTTGTACTCAACTCCGGCAGGAATTGCTTGAAGACTTTCCATTAGTTGGAGGGACTGTGCAGAGATCCAATGACTAGCGGCTCGTCTGGTGGCGGACTAACGTAAGGCGCTCTGGATCTGTGCCCAGTGTGTCTCAACATCGGAAGATAGAAAACGCAGGTTGGAGGCTAATGTGTTCCGAACCACGCCGAGAACATTTGGGCGGCGAACTTGTCTGAGTAAAGCTGTTGCCGACTACGCTGTTGGTTGCCTCCAAAGCCTACCTACCTTCCCGGATAGGTAGTTGACTTATCCGAATTGTCGGCTGACTGCGACAAACAAATACTCAGCTGTGTTCCAAATTGACTTGCAGTCCGTTATGCAGCCTCGCCAACGGTAACTAACAGCGATGTGATCAATCAGCGTTTAAGCTTGACCAGGCGCCGGTGGTCGCCAGGTGGCTCGTTGGCGCCAGGAACGTCGGAAATTGGGGCTGGATAAGAACAAGCCGTGGTCAGCGCACAGTTGAAGGAGTCGATCGTCGTCCTGCGAGTACCCTGGTTGTGTTGATCCTCTCATGTACCTCTAGTCCATCGACCTGCGTATTTAGGTCTCCTGCAAGTAGCACGATGTCCGTGCGGCATTTCTTGCGGAGGAGGTCGGTGAGTTGGCGGTAGAACTCGTCTTTAGCTTCGTCTGGGCTTACGCCACAACAATGAATAAGCAGCGCCTGATGGTCCCGTGGATGGAAGAGTTTTCCAAGCGGGCTGCACAGAGACGGCTGTTGACCAGGAACCAGTCAATGATCGCTGCCTCAGCAGGCGCGCTTAACGCAACTCATACGCCGGAGCAACCAAAAGCTGCCGCTGTCGCATCTCCAGATAGGCGCAAGGTAAATGTGCAGTTGGAACTTGGGGATGGTGAGTGCAATCGCAGCATTGTGGTGAAGTCTTATAAACAGGTTTCTGTTAGGCAGAAAACGTCGATTGGGAGAGTTTCCGACGTGCGCGCAAGAGCAGCTTGTGGACCAATCTGCATGAGCGTTCGAACATTGAAAGCAGATAAGTTGGAGAGTGAGCGGACGCAATGAAAACCTTGCAGAATATGTGCGGTCGGTTTTGAGCGGTTCATTGATGAGGCCAATGGTACCGCTTTTATTTGCAATGCACTTTTGGAGACTCGAAATTGGGTGGTGATTGACAAGAACAGGAGGGTCGAATAAACGTGGAACGAAGGCGGTTTGCGGTGCGGTAGAGTGAGGTTTAGCATGCCCGGCGGCCAGCATTTAGACCAGAGAGAGTTCAGAGAGCGAGAAACGTGAACAGAAAGTCGTAAATCCGTCATTTCATGTGTGTATCTCTCCAAATACAGAACAGGCGCTAGGGCTCAATCCAAACCCATTAGCTACAAAGCTGTTTATTAAGCATGGCACAATCAGCTGTGAGAATTCGTTGCCAATGCGATATCCGTCTTGTTTCTCGCTAATCCATGAACTAAATCCCAGTAACCAATACGCTTTTAGGGTAGTAAGAGACAATCGGGATTCTCTGCGCGTCGGGGGCGGCCACTTATGAAGTACCGGAGGTCAAACTCCATTGATGTTGTTGTAGTTTGCCTGCTTGTTGCCTGCGGATCAACATGCTGACAATACCTCACTGATGATGTTTCCACCGAGCATTAGGTTGCAAGGGCAGATGCGATATGATAAACTTTTATAAACGGTCGTTGGCGTCTGGCTGGTAACTATGATTGGAAGTTTTCCCCTTTAATGACTTCCCTACTGTTGCATTTTCCCAAATTTTTGTCCTTACCATTTAGTCTTTTTTATGGCTCTTATTTTTAACGGATCAAATATCCCGCGAGTAGACATCAGAACAAATTTTAGCGAAAAAGGTCGTTTTCAGTAGTTCCTTATCAGGATAATACATCGGAAATGAATGACGCATGTAAACATCAGCTAAGGGTAAATGATCAAAAGCCCCGATGGTCTGAGTGACCAAATTAGGTGAATGGCCCAACAGCGATCAAGAGCGTGTTTGTATGTATGCGTGGTGTTGTCCACACTATGTGTTACAGGAATCAGGGTGTCTGGACGAATTTCTTGTGCGCAAGCCTAATGGCCATTGCCTCGGCCGCTGTCAGTAGACGATATCTAACCGCTCTTGTGTGGCATCTGCGTACGCGGTGGATGTACTCTGATCTGGTGGTTGGAATCGTTATAACGGAGACGCTAGGCGTGTAAACTGGGCTCATTGTATCCCTGCGTTCTGATTAAAGTTGAGGAGATCCGAGTTGGCTAGGAGAACCCCATGAAGCATCTATTGAAAGCATACTTGAGCTCCATAGCGACTGAACGCTAACCATCATAGGCACATGATGAATTGGATCCAAAAATACTGGGATTCGAAGAGACTACTAATCGAAATAATGAGTTTAAATCCCATTTAGCTGAAATTAGTCCCGAGGCGGTCTCTAGCAGTGAAATACTCGGCTGAACGCCCATGGTCATATGATGTTAAAACGTTATTCACATATGTGGGATTCTGTTGGTCCAATCCCCACGCTACTGCACGCCACGCAACTACGCACTGATGTCACCTCGATTGGTGACGAAACGTTTGCAGAAAATAATGCTAAGCTCAGAGAACAGTTCAACCGCCAATCCGTGGTTAGTCGACGATAGTGGACTTTGAAGGAAAATGTCAGATATTTTCCAGTGGTAGCGAGCAATATAGGGAAACAACTATAACCCAATAAAAACTCACAATGTCCAGCTTCCATCGATCCATAGTGGTTCTGGAACGAAAGATGAATATATCTAAAACTGAGGCGGGTTAGTATCCCCATAATAATAAAAGACAAAATGAGAACTTAGTGGAAAAGCGACGCTCTCAAATCCAACATGTGATTTCTTTCGCTGTATAGGGCATTCATAGGGAAACGCAAAATCCAGGCTAGGCTTAGATCAAACCTATTTGGGATAAAACGGCGTGCCTTTTAAATACGTTCCACAAGTCTGTGATAGTATAACAACTTTCTCACTCAGTAAAACAATTGTTTACTACATGACACAAGATGATAGAGAATTTCGACCTTCGAAATGGCTAAATATGGGTATAACTAAATGAGCACAAATTAGTGTGTGGAAACAAACACCTGATCCATTGCGATAGATGAGAAATAGTAAAAACAGTTTCTGAATGAACGGCTGCCAACGTGAAAGATGTGTGTGCACGTTTCTGTGTATAACTTAATAAGCTTAGATGCTGCGTTCCTACAGCCAACAGTTAGAAAATACGGTCGAAAAACAAAGATTTATTCCTTGCATACGAAGCCTAAAAATTGTTCACTAAAGAAACAAATTTGAAAAATTCTGGTGCAATAAACTGATCATATTTTCAAGATCAGTCAAAGGCATGTATACATGAGCGATTTTGTAAAAAGCCATTCCTTATCTCCATTAAGCTAGCAGCTTGGTGGGACACTACCGTGTAATGCGCGCAGTTTCGCTGGCGGACCAGCGGCCTCGCAACACTGAGCTGATTCACTCTCCCGTGCATGCTTGGTCGATGTCGCATGATGTGTGATTGCTCTTACCACACACGGGCTCGAGATGCTGCGGTTGGATCTGATATACTCCCGGTGCGCGTATTATCGCTGTGCTAACAGCAACTCAGTCGCAAGGCTTACGGTGGCCATCTACCTCTCACCACACGTTCAACATTGAAAGATCCACAGTCACCAGGATAGTCAACTGAAGTGGTGAATTATCTATGGTGAACAATAGGTTAGATTGGCGATTTTCGCATCTACTGTGAAGTAGTTTTAAATGATTGCAAGTAACAAAGGTGCGAGCTTGGTCCGAGTGGGCGAATTTCATCCAAGTGGTCAATAAGACACGACAGAAGTGAAATGAAAGGAACTAATTCAATCTGATTAAACAGATGGTGTGGCAGGAGGTCGAGGTAAACATTAATTTTCTTTTGCATATCCATCCTGTGGGTCTTGTAAAGTTATGATTTTTATCCCATCATACACCATTGAACCATTAACGGACGCGAAATCCTAAATGCGGTCCATTCGATAGGCGATATTATCGACTGAAGGGCAGCAGTACCCGTGTGTGTGTGTGGGGGGGGGGCATTGCGCATATCGATTCACCGTCTACATTGGAGCCAGACAGTTTTAGATACCCAGGAGCTAACCCAGAATGACGACGCTCAACTGGGATTATTCCTAGAGTAAAAAGCGCGGGAATCTTTCAGTGTCCGCATACCCGTCGCGATCAACTTGCTTGCTTACGAAGAGTGCGCGGCCAATTAATTCAAACCTCACATTCTCTAATCCGGTTCTAGGTAATAGGGATACGCACTTACGAACCGGGTACTCGAGTACAGTAAACCAGTATCCTCGAAAGAAGTATATTAAATGTGTATTAGGGAAATGAGCAAACATTTGTTTTTAGTTGATTTGTTTACCACACCCGTCGAAATTAATCTCGAGCAGTCGGGGCAAAACGACCGCATACGAGGCAGAGAAATGTTAGGGAGTGCTCTGCACTCTAAAACTTGTTCCGTGATAGTTCACACTCACTGACTGAGATAGCGTCCCTATTGCCGGTAATTGTCTTAACCACTAAGTTCGGTTCAGTCGAACAACTTCGATCCGGGTACCGAACGTCAAACCTTTGGCTGCTGCTGCAGAATCCCGGAACTATGGAACACGACAGGTGTGTCAAATCCATTCTACCGAAAGATGCACATGACTTTAAGTTGGATGAAACGGTTACTCGCCGCAAAATATTCGACGATCAGTCTTCTTTATTCACTAGTCAGTAACAATGTTCGAACCTGTGCAAGAGAAACGCTGACAGCCTCATGCGGCAATCGTAAAGCGAGAGTGCCAAAAGTTCAGGACAGTTCAGGATCAGTTTAAATGTTTGATTTTGGTATGTAGCTTACAATCTCGGAAGGATGCCGAGATAAGAGCCAGAATGCCGGGTAAACTAGAGTGCGATTCAGACGTTACATTGCAGACGCTCAACGAATCATTAATTTGAAACATGACTCAACAATGATTGATTCTAAGGCAAACCTCGGTGACATCACGCTTCAGACAATCTCTAAAAGAAAGACCACGTCCGCCGAACACGCTAAACACCAACCAGAAGAACCCCCATCGGCCTGCTAGTGCTGAGGTGAGTGGCACTTTGTTCTGTGATGTACTTTCAACAGGCAGGTGTGTCAAAAGTGTCATGGACGAGGATACAAGGAAAGCCAATGGAGGTCAAGACAAGCATTCAGGTAAGCATCATGTATCCGACAGAAAGTACACAAACATTTTGCCAGGAGAGTGAAGGCCAACTTCACTGGTAGCGTCAACGATAGATGGAAGTTTGTCAGCAACGTCATCAACGGAATGTTGGTTAGGTTGTATATTGATACAACCTTATATATTACGGTGATATCAGAAAATCTGTAGAAGATAGTCAGATCACCTGCCATCGACGTGACAGAGCAGCGAGCCAGAAGTGCTTCGGATTCTGATCTACCTTTGTTGGGTCAAGTGGAATGTGAATGCCGTTTTGCCGATCGCACTGAGTGGGGAACGATCTTTGTCAAGGCGTACCACAAATTGAACTGCCTAGGGTTGGACTGGATCAAAGGTTTTAACCTATTGGATGTTCTAATCAAATAAAGACCCCAATGGCACGCAAAACGACGGCATTGGAGGGAATCCCAGAGAAAAACATGCCTCAATATTCCGAGTAGGTCTCGATAAGTGCGCAAAAATGGAAGGCTTACTGTCCCTGATGCCGTCCCAGTATTTCGCGCAAAGCGCCCCTAGCTTACGCAGACATCCTTATGGTTGATCAAGAACTGGATCGCTTAGATAGTAGTAGTGATTCATGCAATAAATTATTCAGATTGGACAGATTCTACAGTAATTTTTAGAAAACCCCGCGGTCAAATTAGGATATGTGCGGACTTTTTGACGGGCCTGAACGCAGCTGTTGTATACTGCCTCTCCACCGCCTATGTAGTGGCTTCACTAGATAACCAACGTTGAAGTCAGACAGCGTAACTTGAGTGGAGGAAGCCATTCCCCCAAGGCGCTTGTCTCGCTGCGTTAACTACTATGGTTTGGACACGTACTGCGTATGCCCGTTCAGCGTCTTCCGCGTAGTGCCTTGTTCGTGGTCGCTGGACAAGGATGGAGGAGGCGGCGTGGTGGACAGCCTACAAGATGTAAAAGCAGGATGAAAAAGCTGACAAAACAGGTGGTGTTGGTTGGTAATTCTCGACTTCCTGGATGAAGTCTCAAGGATGCTGAGTGCCGCTGGTTGGAAACTTCGGAAGTCGTGCCTCAAACCCGAAATTAGTAGCGGTCGTATGCCTGTGCTTCCTGCGGTGATTTTCCTTCCCTTCTCCAATCAGAAACATACAAAATCACTCAAAATAAATAAGTGAGAAGATGTACAAATATTTTCCTGTTTTATTCCTTTTATTACTCTATTCCCGTTATCATATTCCCCCACGGTTCCGATCGCAAAAAACCTGCACACAGATGGTGATGTATATGGTTGGCGGCATCCGGTTTCGGATTTGCCTGTCACTGTGGCCAGCCACAGGACGCCTGCGCCTACAGAGGGACCATGGGTGGCTTGCAGTGCACCACCCACAGCTCCAACCACACACCCCATATCCAGTGTAAACCCGAAGAAATAGGATCGGGAGGCATGCGGATGGGAGCCACGTTTCATCAACGGAGCCGGCCCACACTCCTTTACAGGCAAACACAAGCACGCTGTATATGGGGAATCAAGCGCACATAAGGCGGTGGCTGGACTGTAGTCCGCTCCACACTGAGTGCATGGAACCACTCTTCGAGGCTAACACGGCCACAAGGACCGCGCACCCGTTCCCTCCAGCAACGACCAACTGTTTCCTGGAGCCAGTATGGACGAGATAGTGAGTAATAGACAGGTAGGCACCTTGTCAACATGCACATCAAGCGCAGCCACACCGGGGATATCAAACAACAGCCAATCATTTGAGAGAGAGAGAGAGAGAGATACAAGAAAATAACTCGATTAATACATAAGGAAACGGTGACATAAACCTTAAGTTAATGAGCATATGTAATAAGTTGTTTACAAACGAATCCTAGATAAGTTCGCGAGGTCAGAAAGTATACTCTACGGCATACCTAGAACACAAAATGCTATGGATGTCGAATACAATTGGCTTAAGCGAAGTGCGCAAGTTAATGGAATAGAGTACAGGTAGACATTTATATGAGAAAGAAAAGCATCTAGGCAAAATTGAAAACCCACCACCTGAAATAAAGAGACTTAGCATGCAAGCACGCGGTTAGTAAATCGAATGCAGCGTGCCTACAAAAGCTGCGCCGGTGCTGTCTACCTCCTCTGCAGGACCCGTCGTCGCTTGTGTAGTGGTCCGAGTGGCCTCGCTCACGGCTCACTAGGAAAGGGTGACATATATCTTAAAGTAATGAGCATCTGAAGTAAGTTGTTTACAGAAGAATGCGAGATAAGTTCACGAGGTCGGAAGGAAAACTTTACGGAAATGCCACGAACACAAAAATGTTTTCGGAAAGGACTAGAATTGGCTCAAGTGACGTGTGCAAGTTTATAGAACAAAGTACGGGTAGACATTTATACGAAAAAGCAAAGCATTGGGACAAAATTGGAAACCCACCACCTGAAATAAACAGACTTAGCACGCAAGCAAACGGTGACATAAATCTTAACTTAGTGAGCATATGAAATAAGT